CATCATCAGACGTCCACGGGTTATCCGCCTCAAAACCCCACGCCCTGAAACGCACCGGACCACCCCAGCAATTGCAACACCCTTGTACCATTATATCTGTTTCATATTACATCATATCTGCTCACCTGTGTCCACTTCATCATCATCGGACGTCCACGGGTTATCCGCCTCCACCCACGCCTGGAACGCGCTCCGATCCACCGTTCGATCCACCAACCCCGCCGCTGACTCAGCCGATGCTGACTCATCCGCACTCGGGTCCAGGTCAGCGTCGCGTGGCTCGTCCACGTCAGCAGGGAGCAGCGAGGGTGCGGGCGGGGAAGGGGCAGCGGAGGGCGGGGGGGACCTCGTCGTCCTTGCACTCCCACAGAACAGTCCCTTGAGTGGCACATGCCATCGTCTGGCCAGAAGGGACAGTTGCACCACAGACGAACCTGATGGGGAGAGACAGGATTGGGTGGAATGGGGTGGAGTGCGGTGGGGCTGGGTGGTAAGTGGTAGGGACCACATGGTCCTTGCACTCTCCCACAGAGCAATCCCTGGAGTGGCACATGCCGTCGTCCGGCCAGAAGGGACAGTCACACCACAGCCGGACCTGAGAGAGGGGGGTGGGATGGGATGGGGTGGGGTACAGTGCGGTATGATGGGGTAACGGGCAGGGACTTCGTCGTCCTTGCACTCCCCTATAGAGCAATCCCTGGAGGGGCACATGCCGTCATCGGGCCAGAAGGGACAGTCACACCACAGACGAACCTGAGTTCATCCACTGTCTGCTACTCATGTCGTGTGCTCAGCAAACCATCTGGAACCGCCACGTACCTTACAGCACCGCATTGAACCGACCTTGAAGTAATTGAAGAAGGTGGTGTTGACGAGCTGGGTCAGCAGCGGCTGTAGCACGTGCGAGTTGAATTCATCCACTGCATGCTACCCCACGTGCTCTGTAACCCCTCTAGAACTACTGCGCACCTTGCAGTACCGAACTGAACCGAGGTGAGTTTTACCGACCTTAAAGTACTTGAAGAAGGTGGTGTTGACGAGCTGGGTCAGCAGGGGCTGTAACACGTGCGAGTTCAGATCGTCCACTGTCTCGTACTCGCAGCAGCAGTCGTCCACCACGCCTGACAACCGCTTCACCTGCATGTGGACACGTGGCAGAAACAGGTGACACGTGGCAGCAGAAAAGTGGGTTGGGTTCATCCACTGTCTCGTACTCGCAGCAGCAGTCGTCCACCATGCCTGGCAGCCGCTTCACCTGCGAGTGACACGTGGCAGCAGATAAGTTGCAAAAGGTACAGTTACCGAGGCAAGGCAAAGACGCGGCTGTTGGTGCAGAGGTTAACAGCAGGGGAAGGCATGCCATCGCAAAATACCATGGATGTGGAGTTAGGCAGTAAAACGCAAATCAGAAACTTGATGAGCATAAAGAGCTTGACGTGCGTACCTGACACGCGAGGTGCAAATCTGACACGTAACGTACGTACCTGACACGTAACGTACGTACCTGACACGTAACGTACGTACCTGACACGTGCAACCAGAATCCGGTTGAGATGTAACGGAAAACTGATGACGCCGACGGTTTCCTCGAGATTGCCGCCGCCTCCACAGGCTGTGGAGAATCTCCGGTTGCTGGAAACCTCCTCAGCAAGCTTCACGCCCCATTGTCGCAACACCTGGTTACAAAAACTCGCTGCTTTTCGCAGCAACGGCCGTGACATATTCCGGTCGCGATACTGCCACCGCTACAGCCACGACAGCGACTGTCGCGGCCAGAGCTAACCAAAAAAACTTTCCTGATCCTTGATGCGTTTTCTTAGCCCTTTTTTTAGCGGTGCCATTTTGCTGGTGCTGTCCGTGAGCCGGCTCGCCGTTCGCCGGCGCCATGACCGAGCGGCGCGTGATGTCTTTGCTTACTCCTTATGCACGAGATCTAGAAAAACGTATGCTTCACAAAATGGGAGTTTGTTCCTCGCTGAAAGACGTTATTTGTACGGAGACACGTGTTCAGGCAAGTCGATTCTGAAGACAAGTTGCAAAGCGTGACTGTGAAAAACTAGCGACTTCACGTTGCGTTGCCTCGATTTCCCGTGACCAGCACGCTAGTAACTTCGACGTCTAAACGAGCTAAGACGAGCGTAACTTCATCGTCAGAACCAAAGCAATGCTTGACATATCTGATAACGATCTAGCAGCAGCTAGCTCAGAAAATATCATAAACGGATTTGAGATGTGGAGATATCAATGCTGAACAAACAAGGCTGTGGGAAACCGGCTAGTCCTGATTTCAGACGGGTAAATAATGGTTTAGAACGGTGAGAAGAGATAACCGTTTTGAAGACCACAGCATCGTGCTCACCCGTATCTACCAGTCTGACAGTGAACTCGTCTGGCACTCCGTCAAGGCGTGTATCGAAAGAACCGTTCCCGACTGTAGGTTATCGTACTACATCGTTTCAACCGAACACAAAGGTATGCCTGGTTCCACGCCCTCATCCGACGATCCAGATTCTTCCCAGGGCTGGTCGCCGTGTCGTGCGTGACCGCCTGGAAGATCGCGTTCCCGCTCGTGCTTCTGGAAGCAGTGGACGGGTGAAACGTGTTCCGACCCGACCAATCAGCCTCGTTGTAGCCCCGTTAGACAGGCGAGGAGAGCATGCTGTGCTGGCGCAGACTTGTACTTCCTCCGTCGCAGTTGCCTGTAACGAAAAGCAGAATATATACTTTCATGTGAGTTACATTTTACCTGTACCGTCTACACTTTACATCCTGTTTTGCGGAATTCCACATCTGCCTTCCAGATCCATATTCTCCAAATTGTGCTCCTTTCGCAAGGCGAGCTTCGCAGCCGATTCGCCAGCACGAACGAGGCTGGACGAGGAAAAACAGCGGGTATTTGCGAGAGTCGTCAACCATCAAACGGCACTTGCGGTACGTGGAGAAGGCTTCGTCGCACCGCCAAGTCAAGCAGGTTCGAGCCGCATGTCCGAACTTTGCTTCATAATCAACTTTGCCACATTCTGCACTGCCGTTTCTCCACTTCGTCATTCTCTCCTCAATCTCACCTCTTGTAGAGCACAGCTCGTGCTCTGCTCCTTCCAAGGGTGAGTACTCTCGCTACTGAGTTTCATCTCTAGTAAATACCGTGCTGCGTCAAGGGTGAGTCCCCGACGCAGATTAACCGGCTCAATTTCTGTCGGAACCTGTACGCGTGTCGAATCGATACGTTATTTCGTGCAATAAATCAGACGCCTCATCATGAAAACCGAAGCGGCGCCGCTGCTCCGTCCGCGCTTTTCTGCTTGCCGCCTAGTAGCTCTCGCTGTCAGCGTAGTAATTTTCTGTATTAACACGGTTCAGGCTCGTTCTACCGGTGCTCCTCTCGAGTCTTTCCACCTCAACAGTAATGCGTTTCCCGCAGCACCGGAACTACCATCGCTGCTGCCGAGCGTACCCATCCGCATCCCAGAGGCGGTCAGATCCGCCTTCCCCGGCCGCACCTCTTTGGGAACAAGTACGACCTTCCCCAGGCACACCTCTTTGCAGACAGATCCCACATACCCCGGCCAAACCTTCCCAGCGTGAGTCCGCAACGCCGCGTCACGACTGGCGCCCGATGGAGCAAGAAAACTGCTGGCTGGAGGAGACCCCTTATACCGAAGCTTATAATAGCGCGGATGCGTACAGCGCGGCGGTGCTCGCGCCGACAGCAGCAGAGGTACCGGCGTCAGAAGTAGATGGTAATACGATTGGGGGAAGCGACGATGATGATGGTGGTGGTGAGACCATGCGCCACACTTCGACTGGCGGAGAGGACGGGGAAGTGGACGGGGGAGGCGACGGCGGAGGGGGCGGGGGAGGGGGCGTGGGAGCCGACGGCGGTGGGGGCGGGGGAGGGAATGGGGGAGGGGACGAGGGAGGAAGCTCTGAGTGGCCCGTCACTCGCGGAGGGGGGTCAGGAGGTCGATGGTAGCGAGGGGAGCGCGGAGAGTCGCCAGCCTGCCACGTGGTGCGATAACGAAGCGTGCTTACGTGGCGCGCTGCTGGATCTCGCGCCCACCGTCTACCTCACGCGCCACCTGTACCTGACCAATGGCGAGCTGCCAGCTGTCAGACACGCGGTTGGCCGTGACGGGCTTGTGTTCGTCCGATCAGTGCACGATCGACGGCCAGGGGCAGTCCAGGGTGAGACGGAGGGAATGAGGCGGAAGGGGTGAGAGGGAGGATTGAGAAGGGATTGAGATGGAGATGGGATTGAGTCAGAATGATCAGCACGTCTGCGCAGGCGGCTACCTTGCGCTCCTTTTGAGTCATAATGAACATCGACTTCGAATACCCCTTTTGAATCCCCAACTTTACCCCCCCTTCCCCCCCCGCGTCCCCCCTCAAAACCATATGTGCCACCGGCCGTGATCTTCACCGTCCGAGCAGGCGGTTACCTGGCGCTCCAGAACATCGCTCTACTGCACGGATTGCAATCCATCCCCCACCCCAACCCAGCTTAAATCCCCCCATTCAAACCGCCCCACCCCCCTCCTTTCTCGCCCCAGATTTTTCACTGTCCGGGCAGGCGGTTACCTGGCACTCCAAAACATCGCTCTACTGCACGGGTTCGCCCCGCGGGGGCAAGTTCGGCGGGGCAAATTTTTCGTTTCCGGGCTGCCCGACTCAATCGCCTTCACCACTGGAGAATCTGCCCGGGGCCTACCTCTCCGCTATAAGCACGAGTTTCTTTAACAACAGCGGGGGTAGCGGAGGTGGGGCGGTGGCTATAGGGAGCAATGCGGCGGCGTTTTTCCATGGTGCCCAATTTCGCATTTAACTCCGTTTTCATGGTATGTATGGCGTTTGAGTCCACCAAAGTCAACGGGCGGGGGGGGGGGAGGGTGGTTGCTATAGGGAGCAATGCAGCAGGGTTTTTCCATGGCGCTAGTTTCGCTTTCAACTCGGTTTTCATGGTACGTGAGGCGGATACATGCATGAAGTATATGTGTATGGTGGCTGGGTTTTGAGGTCGATTTAAGAGTCAGCCAAGGGGGCGGTGGCTATAGGGAGCAACGCAGCAGCGTTTTTCCATGGCACCAATTTTGCATTCAACGCCGTTTTCATGGTATGTGTGGCGTGAGTATGAATGGTGGGTGATTGCACTGCATGTTTCCTTTCCTAGACAATGAACAACATAACTGTCGCTGCATTCCCGTCTGTCACTGCTGCCTTTCTCAAGCATAGTCTTATTTGCTTCACCCTCCACCCTCAACCCTCCCCAGGACGCTACTAACAAGCACCGGAGCAGGGGATGGGCCATGTACCTGGGAGAACAGGCCGACAGGAGCATCAAACCCAGAGCAGCCAAGCAGAGCCACAATGGGACCACGCCTTCCAAGTCTACTGGGAGCAAAGCAGTGGCGTGTTCCCGAATCCGCTCTCCCTCCCTGTGTGACTGTGCTCGACTCGCTGTTTGTTGCCAACTCGGCTGCTGTCGGGGGAGCCGTGTTCGTGGATGGGAGTGACCCTGCCTGCCACAACACCACAGCATCCCAGCAGGTACATTACAGTGCCGTCCTCATGTTCGCTTCCCCTCTTCCTGTGCCACCCTGCTGGACTTTCTCTTTCTCGCCAACTCTGCTGCTGTCGGCGGTGCTGTGTTCGTGGATGGGAGCGACCCCTCCTGCCACAACGCTACAACATCCCAGCAGGTACATTGAGGTGCCGTTCTGATGCTCGCCCTGCCTCTTCCTCTTCCTCTCTCCCTGTGTGACTGTTCTCGCCTCGCTGTTTGTCGCCAACTCGGCTGCTGTCGGCGGTGCCGTGTTTGTGAATGGGAGCGACCCAGCCTGCCACAACGCATCATCAGCCCCGCAGGTACATTACAGTGCCGTCCTGCTGCTCGCCCTGCCCCTTCCCCTTCCTCTCGCCGTGTGTAGCGGTGCTCGACTCGCTGTTTGTGGCCAACTCTGCTGCTGTCGGCGGTGCCGTGATTGTGGATGGGAGCGACCCGACCTGCCACAACGCATCATCAGACCCGCAGGTACAACTCAGAGTCATGATGACGCTCCCCCTCTCCCCCTTCCTCTCTCCATGATGAATGTCCCTTTTCCCCCACTGTACCACACCAACCAGGACCCCAGCAGCACACAGGGAGCGTCGCTGCACATGAGCAACGGGCTGTTCGAGGCCAACAGGGCTGCTGTGCCTCACTCACCGCCTTGGATGGAGGGGCAGAGCAGCAGCAATGTGGGCTCCCTATTCCTTCCGTCCTTGCCACCTGGCCCCTGTGCCTCACTCTTCCCTCGCACCAACCAGGACCCCAGCAGCACACAGGGAGCGTCGCTCCACATGAGCAGCGTGCTGTTAGAGGCCAACAGGGCTGCTGTGGATGGAGGGGGTTGTGGATGCCAAACGTGTGTTTGCTTGCACCCTTTCCTCCCACCGCCCCACAACCACACCAACCAGGACCCCAGCAGCACACTGGGGGCGTCGCTGCACATGAGCAACGGGCTGTTAGAGGCCAACAGGGCTGCTATGGACGGAGGAGGAGCGGCTGTGCGTCTCCGTCACTCTGTCCTTCACGCCTGGCCCCTTCCCTCCAACCAGGATGATACCGCACTGGGGGCGTCGCTGCACATGAGCAACGGGCTGTTAGAGGCCAACAGGGCTGCTGTCGATGGGGGAGCAGCGGCTGTGGGGTCTCACGGGCGACTTGGGGGGCAAGCTTCATTCTCCACCGTCCGGTTCAATAAGAATTCCGCACGGGTAAGTGTGGATTTGATCTCCGCCATTTGATTCAACTCAGTGTGTGTCGGATGCTCTCCACCGTCCGATTGATGAAATGACCCGAACCATCTGCTTTCTGCTTCCCTTCTTTAATATTCACCTAAACTACTCTTTCCTACCCCTGGTGCAGAGGGATGGAGGAGCGCTGTTCGTGGGGGGAGGCCGTCCCGACCATGCCGGCAGAAGAGTCACTGTCTATGATGCATCGTTTCTTAGTAACACTGCTGGTCACAGTGCTTCTAACCCTGTCCTCTTCTTCTCCCTGCCTGCCTGCCTGCCTGCCTGCCTGCCTGCCTGCCTGCAGAGGGATGGAGGAGCGCTGTTCGTGGGGGGGGGCCGTCCCGACCATGCCGGCAGCACAGTCACTGTCTATGATGCGGCGTTCCTCAGCAACACTGCTGGTAACCCTGTTACCAAGCCTGTTTCCAGAAAATCTGGGCATCCAAAAACAGGAAACCTGCAGGGCGGTGCTGACATGGCAGTGAGGCGATGGGCGTCCGCTCACATCCATCACAGTACCTTCCAAAAAGCTTCCTCGCTGGTCACCCAATCAGCCTCCTCTCCTCCCTCCTCGCACCCCTCCTCCACCACCTCCTCCTCCTCTGTACCCCATAATTTCCCCTCTTCATCCTCCCCCACCAACCCCCTTCTCTGTGTGGGTTCGTGCATCATCTGCCAAAACACCACCACTCCAGATACCCCTCGTGCAAGAGGCAACGTGACTATATCCAACTGTGAGTGTAACAGAATAAACGTATTGGAGCATCCTCTTCCCTTCCTTCCTCTCCTCTCCTCTCTCCCCCTTTCCCCTTCCCTCCCCTCCCCTTTCCTATTTTCAGAAACCACATTCTCTTCCCTTGTTCTCCCCACCCCTTCCCCCTCCCCCCATTTCAGCAGCTGATTGCCTCCGCACCCCTCCACCCTTCACCTGCCCTTTCCTTCCCACCTACCTCAAGGCTATTCCTCCCCAATCTGCATCAGCATCAGCACCAGCACCAGCATCAGCAGCTGCTGCTGCAGTATCTCCTACCACACCTCGTCCCCTCTCCACCATCTCCTCCCTCCCTGCTTCTGCCCCTACACCTGCCACTGCCACTGCCCCTGCTGCTACACCTGCCTCTTCTGGTCATGCCACTGCCACTGCCCCTTCCCCCACTCCCACGCCAACCACTCCGGTCTCTGACTGTGCCTGCCCCCAACCGGAAGTGACACCGTCCTCCACCCCTTCCACCTCCTTTCCCTCTCCACCCGCCTTACCTCCTCCCTGCGCTCGTCACCTGCGGGAGAAGCTTTCAAAGGAGCCTCAACCACCAAGGTGAACCCCCTCTTTCTAAGCACACCCATGCTGCAATTCTCCTATGTTGCACATGCCAATTTTTCACACTCTATGTAGTACAATATATTTCCATACGAATGTATTCTGAATTCAACTCCTTGTTTTCCGAACTACAGTTATAATAAGACAACTCAACGCAATGTGACCGGAGACCCGCACATAGTGGGGCAGCTCGGAAAGAAACTCGATTTCCACGGCAAGCCTGGAGAGAGCTACTGTTTGCTCTCATATTCAGATATACACGTTAACATGCGCCTCGTTGCTGGGCCGCATAATGGCACAACGGTAAGAAATCAATCAAACATGTATTTTGCGCTGACACAATGGTTTGCTTGTCTAAGCTCGTTTCTCTTGCAGTATATGGATGAACTCGGCATACTGTATAAAAACAAGGGAGCACACAGCAGTGAATATGATTTGGTGGAGATTGTTGTGGTTGCACTGTCACATCCCGGTGCAAGGGTTTCGGGTTTTCAAGGAGGACTCTTCATTAATGGAGCCGAATTGCCTAACGTTGATTTAACAGTCTCCATGAGCAATAAGATGCTCAGAGTGGATCGCACTAGCAGATCTGTGCGGATTCGCGTCACAAGTACACTCGATATGACTATTGACATCAGAAGAGCAGCGTTCAATCACAATACCGGCAAATGGGTGCACCAAAACCATGTAAGTGTTGTATGCTAGTTGGTGCTGTTCATCAATTCAATGGTTTGTCACTACATTCACTATCACAAAACATTTCTTTTATTGCAGCTGAATGTGAGGTTAGGGAGTTTCAAGGAGTCGAAATCTGTGCATGGGCTTCTTGGGAAGATCAATCAGACCAACTCTTCAAGGCTTGCAAGGACAAAAGGATCAATAGGAAAGGAGGGTGACAGCAAGGAGCACACAAATTTTGATGGTGAGGATAGTTATAGGGTATCAGGCTTGCTCGAAGCTGACTGTAAATACACCCAATTCAGAATGCCCTGAGCAGTGGTAGTTGCGTATGATAGCTACCCGTATTAGAAGTCCCAGACAGATCTTCCTACCACCATATGCATGCCATGGTTCCTCATAACATTTGTTTTTCCTACAACAAATGCAAAACACGTACCATGTAGCTGCAGCTCTAATGATGTCAGAACCCCGTTTCGATATCTCACGCTTTGAATTCTCCGTCAGCCAATCAGCCTCGGCCATACCCGCACGCCTCGAGAACATCCCAGCATTTCCCGCCCCCAGAGTGTCAGTTCTTACAGTTCTCAAGGCAGGTCCTCCTGTCAGTGGGATTTCTCAGGTATTGTCAGTTTACATCGGGAATTCCAATCCAACTGCAGTGCTTAGAGAGGTTGCCGTATGACTCTCTTGAGACCGGAGAAGAAATGCATAATAGACAGAGAGCCAGCATCAGTAGCGATTAGGAGGTCCGTACACAGATAATTGCTGCGTGATTGAGATGCTTTACTGTTTCCTTCCTAGTTTACTATATATGCGTGAGCACCTCGGGATCGCCGAAGCTTGGAAGTTTAACACGAGTTCTGGAACTGTTTTTTCGAGTTGTTATTCCTATCTGATGCACCCAGCGCCCTAAGAAACGTAGCAATGACCAAGGAATGCAGTAAAGAGCAGCTGCTTCGGGTTTTGGAGGACCCCAGCCCGACCGCTTTCCTCGAGTTGATGCTTCGCCACGTGTCGAAACAGGATCCGCTGAACTTAAGCCACGTGGTATCAGGCTTCAATAGAAGCACCACTCCCCGTCTATGCTCCGCTCTGCTCCACCTCACGTCGCGCACGCTCGATAAGGTGCTTCAGCTGATCGCAGTACGCGACGCGACTGCGTCGCAGCACACGACTCCAAGCACCGCCAATGCCTCAACCGCTGCCTCCGCTAACGTCTCCGCTCATGCCTCCACTAACGTCTCCGCGCACGGCTCCGCGCAGGGCTCCGCTAATGTCTCCGCGGATGCCTCCGCTCATTTTTCCGCTAACGGCTCCGCTAACGTCTCCGCTCATGCATCCGCTCATGTCTCGGGAGCAGCAGCAGCAGTGGCTTCAGCAGCAGCGGGAACAGAAGCAGCAGCCTCGGGAGCTGCTCCAGCAGCAATGGCAGCAGGAGCAGCGGTTGCAGCAGCAGCAGCAGCAGGAGAAGCAGCAGCAGCAGCAGCGGGTTCAGTTTCGGGAGCGTCCTCGCAATCAGAATCAGAGGACGAAGCCCGCGCAGTTCTCTGGGGAATTCTCACAATAACGCGTCTTCTCTTATCGGAGTTGTTTTCAGGATCCGGGAGCGCGGTTACCCCGCCAGCGGACCTGCTAACCGTCTGCCAGTCCATCCATAACATTCTTATCGACCTGAGTGGTTTCGACCCAGTAGCGCAGGAAGCGGCAGCTCGCGTGTTCGAATCCTGGTGGCAGTCGGATCTGCGAGGCAAGGACACCCTCATCGCCCAGACGCTTCCGTATCTCCTTGCGAGATCGCTCGAGCTCTCTCGACCAGTAGACGTGCGACGCGTGTACGCCATGCGCGACGCGTTTTCGCAGCTTGATTTCGGCGACGCGGAGAGCATAGCCGGGACTCGCGGGCTGCTACTAAGGTGTCTCTTCGCGCCGGTGTATTTAAAGACCACCGAGGGTCGGCGGTTCCTTTCTTTCTTCTTACTTCTAGACCTCCAGCTCCTAAAAGAGTCCATACTCATTATAAGGAATCAGATTCCGTCGGGAAGAAAGTCGCTACTAGAAGCGTATGGCGAGGTCTTTTTCCGAGCCTGGCGATCTGCCGAGCCTGGCCCGAGCCTGTTGGAAATAGAGTACGGGTTTCTGCAGGGGCTGATCGAAGCTGCGGTCTTCGCTCGGACGCCCGAGCTGGGAGCGGCGGTTCGGCGAGTGGTGGGCGGATTCTCCAATCAGATGCTGCAACGTGGCGTGGACGAGCTGCTTCTGCGCGTATCGGAGCCGATCATATTCCGAAGCCTACAGGTGGGTTGCTGCTGGTTGTACGTCAGAAATGTTGGTGCTCAGTGCCGTGCTTTCGAGACTGTATCGCTCATGCAGTTGACACTAAAGTGAGCTCGTCACCATGGTCAAAGAATAGGTGCAAGTAGATAGGGGTAGAGGGAGCGTGCTGTGATTTGAAATACTTTCCAACGCATGCGTTTCTCTTCACCTTTCCCCTTGACCCTCCCCGCGTTTTTCCCCTGCCCTTCCCGCGTTTCCTCATTTCAGGCCGCCAATCCCGCTGTCCGCCGCAACGCCCTTCTCCTATTGGCCGAGCTCTTCCCTCTCCGCGACCCGGCACAAGGACGAGAGGCGAACGAGTCGCTCCTTAATCGGCAGCTATTTCTCCTCTTCGATCGCCTCTTAATGGATCCCTGTCCCGCGGTTCGAGCCTCCGCTGCTGAGGTGGCAGGACGGGTGCTTTGCGTCTTCTGGGAGGTTATCCCGTCGGGCGTCGCCACGTCAGCGCTGACGCGGATGGTTGACGAGCTGGCCGCTGACGTGGCCAGCCCCGCGGTGCGGATGGCGGCAGCGCGGGCGGTGGGGCACCTGTTACAGGGTAACCCGGTTTGCCATGAGCTGTTACGGGGGATGCTTCCGCGAATGGCTGCGGGACTGAGGGACAGATCACGTGGGGTGAGGGTGGCAGTGGCGGAAGTGCTTATAACGGTGGCTACTAACACCAGCATAAGACTAAAAGAGGTTATTTCATCAGGCCAGCTCATACAGGCTCTGGAAGAACCCAACGACCCAATAGTAGCTCGCCACGTCACCCGCGTCCTCCTGCCGACCTACCTGCCGTCCCACCTGCCGCCCGTTGCTGCTGCCGGCCGTTTTATCACCCTTATGCAGCGCTCTCTCCCTGCTGCTGCCGCTTTTGCGCGCTGCAGCTTCCAGGAAGGTGCGGGACTCGAAGCTGTGATTGAAGCCGTGAGGGCTGTTGTAGACTTGTTGGTGATTGAAACGGATGGTGGGGAGGGAGGCGAGGGGAGAGGGGAGGTGAGAGGGGAGGGAAAAGGGGAAGAGAAAAGGGAGGGGAGAGGAGGAGGGGGTGGTAAAGGGTGCAAGAGGAAGGGAAAGAGGAGGCGAGGGAAGGCGGGAGAGGGAGAGGAGGCGGCAGATGGAACGGTGACATGTGGGGAGGGTGGGAAGGTTAGAGGTGGGGAGGCTGCTTCTGGAAAGGGTGGATCTAAGGACGAAAAGGAGGGTTGTAAGGAGGAGGAGAAGGACCGAGAGGTGATGTATCACGTGGTGCTGGGGTTTGTTCAGGGAGTAATGTGGGAAGGAGGAGGAGGTGGTGGAGGAGGAGGTTGTGGAGTAGGAGGAAAAGAAAGAAGATGCAAGGCAGGCAACAGGAGTGAATGTGAAAACTCGGATGCAGCAGCAGCTATGGCTGATACTCTGGATGCTCCTGCTTTGAAACGGTTGCTTCTCTCGGCACGTAGTGCAAGTCAACGGGCGGCGGTGCTGCGAATCGCCGCCCTGCTGCCGCCCGTGTCAGTGGAGGAGCTTGCTGACGTGTGCAGGGAGGGGCTTCTGAGGGTTGGGAAGCAGAGGGAAGAGGGGAATCATGAGGGAATCAATAAAGCGCTTGGGGAAATCTCTGATAATCTCGCTGGTGTGAGGTTGGGTGAGGTGATGGAGTGGATGGAAGGGAGGAGGGAGGAGAGGCGGGAGGTGGAGGGTGTGGTGGTGCTGACACGCGCGTGGGGCGGGTTGGGTCAGCTGGTAGAAGCGCTAGAGGTGTCGCTTGCTGCGGGTGTGAATGGGGAGGTGGAGAGGAGAGAGCGGAGGAGGAAGGGAAATGAGGGAAAGGGAGGGGGGTCGGATACGATAGAGGAAGGAGAGGGAAGGGGCGGTGAGGAAAAGGAGGAGGAGGAAGAGAAGGAGGTGGAAGAGATAGTACTTTCGGATGATGAAGATGAGGAGGATGGGGAGAAAGGCGAGGAGGGAGAGGGGGAGGAAGAGGAGGAGCTAACGGGGGCAAGAGAGGAGGAAGAGGTAGAAGAGTTGGTGAAGGAAGAGGAGGTGGAGGAAGTGGAAGTGGAAGTGGAGGAGTTTGAGGATGGGGAGACGAGAGAGGAGGAGGGAGAGAAGCAGGTGATGGTTGGGGAGGAAGCTTTGCGGCGAGGAAACAGACGTGTGACTCGGAGCATGGGGGGATCCAAGGAAGCTTCCAGACAATCTACTGAAAGCCCGTCAGCTGCGAAGGATGGCACCGGGAAGAGGGGGCTATTGGAGAGAGTAGGAGGGAAGGGAGAGCTAGGGAAGAGGCAGCAAGAAAAGATAGGGCGAGGAAAGAAGGTTTCTGGAAGGAAGAGAGGTGCTGCTGGTGTGAGGGAGGTCTATAACGAGGATGCAGCAGAGGGAAGTGATTCGGACCAATCAGAGCTTGCCAGCGAGGCAGCAGCCCCTGTGATGCCTCCTTGTGTGGTGGCCTACCGCCTGGAAATCCTCCTGGGCCAATCAGAAGCGAGGGCTGAGTTACTGCGCATGCCAGGGGTGCCTGGGCGGCAGCTGGGCCTGCTGAGGACAGCTGTCGACACGCAATTGGCCGGGATGATCGACACGGCGAATGCTACTTCCGCTGCTGACTTTGGTTCGGAATCAGCAGAGCGGAGTTTGGACGATTGTGGTAGGACAGACTCGGATGCTGCTGTGAAGGATAATCGTGCTGCCGATTGGCTGGAAGGAGCGGCGCTGCGGGTGTATGTGAAGCTGCTGGTGCTGATGTGGAATGAGAGGCAGCATGAGGAGGAGGAGCTGGGAAGGAGGGCGCAGAAGCAAGGACGGCAAGCAGACGACACGGGGTGCTCTAGCTTGGTACGTGCTTGACTGCCTTCATCTCTGTGTTGTACTACCCTTCTATGTGTTTATTCATTGGTTTCTAATAGCAGAATTTCTCACGTTTTCTGCCCTCACCCTTCCCTCTCTACCTTATCCTCTGGGTTTCCCATCTTCCCCCCTTCTCCCTGATCCCCCTCCTACCCATTGCATTCCCCAGGGTGAGTTGTCCGATCATCTTCTCGAGCTGATCTCAGCCGTCCATGCAAAGCTGGCCCTGATCTCACAAGCACGCCAAACTCCCAGCAAATCCGGGCCGTCCAAGGCAAGCGGAGGTGGAATCTGGGCCGTCGCTCCTTCCTTCCTGTCCACCCTCACGGCAGTCCTTGCATCCTCCTACACTTCCCTCCTCCTCCCTATGCTGAAATGTAAAAGGGCGGCAGAGAGAAGGGAACCACAGGCGCTGGTGCTTAGGTGCTGTGGTTTAGCGCTTGCGCTGCTGAGGAGGCAGACTGAGAGTGTGAGGGAGGGAGGGGAGGGAGGGGAGGGTGGTGCGATGGTATGGATGGCGTTGCTGTCCGCTGTTGCTTGCTGTAAGAGGGTTCTGACTGCCGCTGGCACTGCTGCTGGTGTTGCTGCCGCCACTGGTACTGGCCAACAAGAGGGGAATGGGGAGGAGGTCCAGTTTCTGCAGGGAGAGGTGCATGCTGCAAGTGCCTTGTTGAAGGGCTGTCTGGGGGGGATTGAAGCGGAGGGGGAAGCTGAGGATGGAGAATGCAAGAACGAAGGGGGTTGTGGGGCGAGGAATGCGGTTGGAGGTAAAGACGACGGAGCAGAAGATTTGGAGGAAGGGGATGTAGGGGACGCAAGTGGGAAGGAGGGTGCAGGTGTGGCTGATGGGTTGGAAGGAGGGTGTGAAGGAAAGGGGAAAGGGGGATTAGCAAAGCATGGGCCAGGGATTGACAAAAGGAAAGCGGGACGTATGGTTTTGAAGGAAGTGGCAGCCTGGAAAAACGAGGGGATGATAGATCCTGCTTTGTGGACGATAGCTCAGAAGGTGCTGGGATGAGTTAGAATGAGCACTTGTCTGGTAACAAATGCATATAAAAACCAGTGTTTGATAAAATAATCCTGCCATACTAGAAAGAGTGAGGCCTTAAAAGGCAACTGACAATGCTCTCCTGTGGGCTGGCCATGTTTCCATTCCATGTACATGGACCATTACGCTCTAGAGATGGAATTTTCCATAGGGATATTATAACAATGGAATGTGTGTAACAGAACTACATTGACACTTCTCGTGTCGTTGACGCCTTTCTTGAGTAGCTTGCACTGCGAGTTTCGTGAGGGCACGCGACAGGCCCTGCACGAACTGGTGCAGGATATCGCGAAATCTCAGCCGCCCATTCATCCCAGATTCATCCACCTTGAAAACATCACGTCTCGAAATTTCGAATTTTGAACACTCGCGCAACGCACTGCAGTGGCGCACGGAATTCTCCAGGGGTGAGCAGAAGAAGTGGGGAAAATAAATCGGTATCGAAGATATTTAGCGGTGTTTTCCAGGGTACCTTCAGTTTCCATTGATGGTGCCTGTTGGCGATGGTGATGGTGATCATGGTGGTAGGATATGGTAAGCAACGGATGGAACCAGAAGGTCAGGGCCAGGGATCACCATTGGGATTGCCGTTCAGCCATTCATCAACTCTCCACCACCTCCTCTGCTTACCGCTTAGACCAGTATTGTAGACACTATGTTGAAGGACGTATTTGAATAGCGAGTTTACGGGATCTTATACTACTGTTCTCCTCCAACACTGTTTACGAGATTCTAGATGATAATAATTCTCCAAGCATTGCGACGAATACTGAGCTGAAGAGTGGAAGCAGCTTCTGTCACCTGTAGCAGCGAGGATTACGCCATTCGCGATTCTAAGAATTCGTTAGTCGACGACACGGGCTGGAATTATAGCGCGTATGCCTATCTGCTTATAACGGCTATGGATAGCCTCGCCATGGACGAGAGTAGGAACATCTTGTTTCTCATTGACGTCAACCCGCTTCTGGTGACGCCAGCAAAAGCCGTTTCGATTCTAGCCAGTATCTTAAAGTGTCTCCTCGCCTTCCATTCCTCCTCTCCTCCTCTGCGATGGGGTTACCACCTGTTTGACTCCAGCGTCAGCCCATTACGATCAGAAAACAAGATTAAGAGGCTTCTTAAGAGGAGCGCTGGCACGTATGGCGCAGCGTGTGAGGGCACGGAGAGTAACCGCACCCGCGTTGCTAAGGACAGCGCGCATCGGCCGGTCTTCCTTCCCGTTAGAGAGCAGGATTTTTGCCGCTTGGCACGTGAACTGCAGACGCTGGCACACGCCGCGCGCAGCGATACCGCCGTAGCCGACAGCACTCGCGGTTCCGGCCAACATACTCTGTTGTTAACTGCAGGAGCATGTAAAACGGAAGCAGAACCTCAAACTACGGCTCGTCTGTGCCAGGAGAACGGTGGGGTTCCTGGTAACCAGGCTAATCCTGGATCTACATTTCCGGGTGACAATATGGGGAACATTTGGCGGACTTTATCCGATTTGGTGCAAGTCCGATACACGTGGAGCCATTACCACGCCCGAAGCCCTCAAAGGACCACTCCCGCTATTATCACTGCTGGTAGGGGAGGACAGCATAGGCAAATGGGTACAGCATCTGACGATGTTAACGGAGACTTTCTTAGAGGAGAAGACCGCTTAGGTTTGGATCCGAAGCGTGCGAACCATGTGGTCGTGTTTACCAGCATCTGCGACGGAAGTTCCGGGAACTCGGCTGTAGCAGCGCAAGCGGCGGGTGTAGCTGAGGCGGCTGTAGCCGCGGGGCCGGCGGGGCGCGGAGGAGGGTGGGCGGGTGCCGGCGGAGTGGCGAAAGTACAGGCGATGTTCGCACCACTGGGAATTCAAGTCTCGTGGGTTGACGTTGGCGCTACGGATGGGGTGGTGGGGGCGGCAGCAGCCGATTCGCGCGCGCAGGATCGGCGTGATAGTAACGAAGGGTGCAGGTCGGCCGCACAAGGAGGGAGCGCAGCGGCAAGGGAAGCGAAGAACGCGGCGCTGAACGCAGGCTGGTCGCTCTTGAGATTAAAGCCGTTTAGTTCAGCAGGAGGAGCAGACTGTAACTTAATATCCGCGGTATGGGAGGGATTAGCAGGGAAAACGGAACCGCTAGCTGCCTGTCGGATGCTGCTGCCTTGCAAAACGGCTGCATTGGTAGGACACGGTAATCCCGAGGTCAAGGGTGGGGGTATGAGTCTGGGTGGATTGAGTGGGGGGCAGGAGACTCTGCCTTCAAACACCCAGGTGCAATGCTTTTTGAGAGCCTATACCGTAGCTGCTGTTGCTGCAGACGTGGCGAAAGCTTCTTGCGGATTCAGCAGGGGGGCGTATAGCGAGTACGAAGGCGAATACGACGGCCTGGAGGGTACAGTTTCAAGAGCCAGTAGGATTCTTTCCGGCAACGTGGAGCTGACTCTGCTAGACATCCAACAGAGAGTAGAAATTCCCCGGACAGAAGCAGCAGAGGCGGTTCCTGGGAGGGGCGCTGGAGCTGGAGGGGCGGAGGGGATCGGTACGAGGGGTTCTGATAGGGCTGGGGCTGCTCAGGACGAGCCGTTTCTCCAGTACGTTCTTCTGGAGAAGAAACCCTCGGTCACAGGCGGTGGTGCTGCAAAGGAGCCGCAAGGAGAGCTGTTTGGGGTTCTACTGAGGTTTTTGGAGGGGGAGGGGCTGGAGGCGCATGTTTACGTGAAAAGCAAGCGGGTGTCGTGCGCCGGGATTATTGCGCCGTTCGCTGGGCATGCGGCCGTGCTGAGGATCCGAGATTGCCCGACTTTGCTGGGGCGCCAGCGACGCAAGCCGGAGAGGCCGCTGAGGAAGCCGGAAGGGGTTAAGCAGTGTCGTAGCCGAGGGTTTCCGGTGTCTGGTAGAGGGTGTGCGAAGCGGAGGCTCCAGGAACGGCGTGAACAGGGTTACCAGCAGGAGGGTTACCGACAGGCGAAGATTCCCCGTAGTGGTGCTGGCGAGAAGGAGGCGAAGGTGGTTAAGGGAAGGGTGGATGAGGAAGGTGGGAATGGGAGAAGGACGGGTACAGGGAGGGAGCGGCATAGACTGCGGAAGGAGGAGGAGGAGGATGAGGATGATAAGGAGGTGGTGAGCGGCTGTGGAGGAGTGTGGAAAAGGGAGGAGGGAGAGAAACGGGAGAAAGAAAAACGCAGTGCACTGGGTGAAAGAAAGAGGTCGAGGGCGCCGGGATGTGGAGAGAGGAATGATAGGGTTGCGAGGGGTGGGAGGGGTGAGAGAGCGGTGAGGGAAGGTTATGGGACAGGCGGCAGGGAGGATGAGTGGGAGTCAGGACTGCAGCTGGTGGTGTTCTCAGAAGCGGATAGGCAGGAGACATGGGGAGAGGCAGAGGGGCGGTATGGGGGTTTTGAGGGGGGAGTGGGCGGGATGGAGGGGGAGGCGGAAAGGGAGGCGGAGGCTGAGGCGGAGGAGGAAGAGGGGTCGACAGGGGAGTGTGAGGGAGAAGGGGGAGAACGAGACGGATTTCGTTATAGGAACACAGGCGTCGCAGGTTGCAGGGGAGGGGGATGCGCGGCAAGCTGTGGCGGGGGCGGTGTGGGAACGGAGTAAAGGACAGGAGAGGGTAAGCGTGCATGAATGGGAGGGTTTAGGGTCCAGTTTTGGCCATAAGCGGTCCGGTTTAACAGGAAAGGGACAGGGATCTGGGAGGGGGGGGCGAGTAGCTGAAGGGGGTGGGAGTGTAGATATCTGCGAGAATGGTAGCACAGGTTACAATAGCGAAGGCGCTTGTAGAGAGGCGACAGAAGGCTCGTGCAGGAGAGGTACGCTGGGTGATGACCTGGCATGGGATGAAGCGCGAGAGTATGAGGAAGCTGAGCTGGCGTTCCTGCTGAGTCAGCAAGAGAGTCAGCCAGGTGGCGGGGAGACTGGGAGAACGGCATGTGGGGACCAGCTGACGTGTCATGAGGTGGCGCGAGCAGCAGAGGGTGGGGACCACATGACGCGGCTTACAGCCATGCTGACTCATACCTGGGCGGCAGCGAGAGGGGTACAGTGGAAGGTGCAGGGGGCCACGGCTGGAAGGACAGGAAGAGGGTCAAGAATGGATAAGATTAGAGGAGATGAGGAGAAAACAGAGCAGACTCAGGAGCAGGAGCAGGGCAGGGAAAAGGGAAGGAGAAGGGCGGTGGGGGAAGGACAAGGGGTAGACAGAGCACAGGAGCGAGCACCAGGTGAAGAAGGGTTGCAGATGGTGCTGTGGGGTGGAGCAGGAAGGGACGGGGGAGGGGCTAGTGGGGAGGTTGGGAAGACGGAGGGTTCTGGCCGTGTTGATTTGAGCGTGGGTGTCTCTGGTGGGAAGAGTGCAGCGGAGGGCAAGGGCGATCGGGAGGGCGTGGGGGGGCAGATGGGAGAGCGCTTTGGGGAAGGTTTGCCAAAGGAACGGGACTCCACCGTGGATTTTAGTCCCATCGAGCGGGCTGACAGGCTGGCAGAACGCGTGGCTGACGTGCTGCATGACGTGGCAGCGGATCTGTACAGTGCTGCCGCGGGATTGGTGCGAGAGGCGCGGCGGTTGTTCCGGGAGGAGGCGGCAGGGAGGGGGAGCGGGGGAGGGGGGATCGAATCAGTTTCTGGGAGACAGATGGACGAAAGGGGGATAGACACGCAGATGGAAGAGGGGGAAACTGGGCGAAGGATCGATGAGGAGGAAGTGGAAAAGCGGGTGCACGAGGCTCTTCTGCTGGGCAAGGCGGATTTGCAGCGGCAGTTCCCGTTGGGTTGCTGTGCTGACACACATGAGATCTCGAGACTAGGGGAGCCGGGGCCGCCCACACTGGGGGATCGAGTGCGATGGTGAGTGCACATTGGGTTGAGTGGAGCTTGGGTTGAGTCGAGGTGGTGGTGAGTCCAGTTAAGGGTATCTCTGTGCACAAGGCACCACCAGGTTCCCAGTGGGCTGCTGTGCTGATACACATGAGATCTCGAGACCAGGGGAGCCGGGGCCGCCCACATTGGGAGATCGAGTCCGATGGTGAGTGAGGGTGGTGGTGGTTGGAGTTGAGGTGGTGGTGGGTGCAGTTTGGGGTAAGTCTGTACACCAAGCATCAGATTTCCGCTGGGTCGCTGCGCTGACACTCATGAGATCTCGAGAGCGGGGGAGCCGGGGCCGCCCACATTGGGAGATCGAGTCCGATGGTGAGTGAGGGTGGTGGTGGTTGGAGTTGAGGTGGTGGTGGGTGCAGTTTGGGGTAAGTCTGTACACCAAGCATCAGATTTCCGCTGGGTCGCTGCGCTGACACTCATGAGATCTCGAGAGCGGGGGAGCCGGGGCCGCCCACATTGGGAGATCGAGTCCGATGGTAAGTGAGGGTGGTGGTGGTTGGAGTTGAGGTGGTGGTGGGTGCAGTTTGGGGTAAGTCTGTACACCAAGCATCAGGTTTCCGTTGGGTCGCTGTGCTGACACGCATGAGATCTCGAGAGCAGGAGATACAGGGCCGCCCACACTGGGAGATCGAGTCCGATGGTGAGTGGACTGGTGGTGGTGAGGTGAGTCAAGATTGCAGTGAGTGGAGGTGCTGTTGAGTCCAGTTTAGGGTAAACTAGTGTGCAGGGCATCAGGTTCCCGTTGGGTGTGCTGACACACATGAGATCTCGTGACGGGGGGGCCGGGGCCACCAACGCTGGGAGATAGAGAGTTCGATGGTGAGTGGACTGGTGGTGGGTGGAGTTCAGGTGGTGGTGACTTGAGCTTGTGATGAGTCCAGTTTGGAGTAAGTTCATACACAAAGCATGCATCAGATTTCGAGGGCGGGGGAGCTTGGGCCCGCCCCCTGCCTCCCCGCGCCCGCTCTTGCCGTTCCCTCTTGGTTCCCCCTTCGTTTTCCTCCCATGCGCCGGCAGCTGCTCCCCTGCGGCCTCCCCTCGCACACACCTGTTCTGTCCCGATTTGGATCTTGACAATTCTAAAATTGCCCCTCACCCACACACATCCACCCCCGTCTCCCCCCACGCCCTGCCCTTTTTCTCCTAACCCCTTCCCCCCACTCTCCCCTCTTATCTCTCCCCCCAGCCACGAGCTGCAGATCCTGCTGCGTCTGGAGCTGCTGCCCTGCGACCTCCCCTCGCACCCCCTGGTGTCTCGATTCGCGAAGCAGACTCAAGCACGCTGCTGGAGAGGGTGGGTTGCTAAACTTCTCCTCCACACCCCCCCTCTGTTCCTCCCAATCCCCCAGCCACGAGCTGCAGATCCTGCTGCGTCTGGAGCTGCTGCCCTGCGACCTCCCCTCGCACCCCCTGGTGTCTCGATTCATGAAGCAGACTCAAGCACGCTGCTGGAGAGGGTGGGTTGCTAAACTTCTCCTCCACACCCCCCCTCTGTTCCTCCCAATCCCCCAGCCACGAGCTGCAGATCCTGCTACGTCTGGAGCTGCTGCCCTGCGACCTCCCCTCGCACCCCCTGGTGTCCCGATTCGCCAAGCAGACCCGCACGCTGCTTGAGATGGTGAATCTGAGCCGAGAGGGCGGCGTGTTTGGGGAGAGCCTGGAGGAGTATGTGCGGCGACTGCTGTGCTCCAGGTGAGGTTCTTCCCAGGGGAGGTTCATTCAGGTGGGTTCAATGTCACTCATATCCCAAGAGGTGCCTTCATTCGCCAAGCAGGCCCGCACGCTGCTTGAGATGGTCGACTTGAGCCGAGAGGGAGGCGTGTTTGGGGAGAGCCTGGAGGAGTATGTGCGGCGACTGCTGTGCAACAGGTGAGATTCTTCCAGGGGAGGCTCATTCAGGGGAGGCTCATCTATGTCCTCATAGATGCCTTGAAGAAGCAGACCTGCAAGTGCCCCAATTTCCTCTCGCTTCTCTTCTCCAAGCTTCGCTTCCAATGCAGCCCTTTCATTGCGCCTCCTCCACCCCCGACTTTCTGTTTTCCTCCCCTTCCATTGCCATCTCCCTTCCCCTCATATCTCGCGTGCTTAACCTCTTAGGTACCGCACCAAGTGCCCCAACTTCCTCTCTCTGCTCTTCTTCTCCAAGCAGCCCCTTCATCGCCCTTTAACCAACCCCTGCTCACGTCTATTTCCCTCTCTGTCCCTTATACCCCTCTGACCCTCTCAGGTACCGCTCCAAGTGCCCCAACTTCCTCTCGCTCCTCTTCTCCAAGCTTCCCTTCCAAAGCAGCCCCTTCATCGCCCTTTAACCAACCCCTGCTCACGTCTATTTCCCTCTCTGTCCCTTATAACATTCCCTCTGACCCTCTCAGGTACCGCACCAAATGTCCCAACTTCCTCTCGCTGCTCTTCTCCAAGCTTCGCTTCCAAAGCAGTCCCCTCATCGCCCCTCCTCCGCCCCCGGCTGTAGCACGAGCTGGTTACCACCCAGGGGTGCCAAAGCCCGCTACAGCCGTCACTCCCCCAGAGGCAGGCGGGAATGCTGGCTCTCCCGAAAATGCTGGTCCGGGAGGGAGTGCTGGTTCGGACGGGAATGCTGGTTCGGGAAGGCAGGAAGGGAATGTTGGTTCGGATGGGAATGCTGGTCAGGAAGGGGGAGATAATGCTGCTGGGCACGCCACGATTGTGCGTGATCTGTCGCGTGCCTTTGATGCTGTGGCGGGGGGAAGGGAGGGACGGGAGGAGGAGGAGGAGGAGCAGCAGCAGCAGGGGCAGGAAGAGGCTGCAGAAGGAGAGGAGGAGGGAAAGGAGGATGGAGAGGTGGGGGAGGAGGAAGAGGGAGAGGTGGGGGATGAGGAGCAAGAGGAGGGAGAGGAAGAGGAGGAAGGAGAGGGAGAGGTGAAGAGAAAGGTGGGAGAGGAAGAGCAGGAAGAGGGAGAGGAGGAGGGAGAAGTGGGGGACGATGAGCAAGAGGAGGAGCAAGAGGAGGAGGAGCAAGAGGAGGGGCAAGGGGAGGAGCAAGAGGAAGAAGAGGTATCATTCAATGGGGTATCGGTGCGGGTTCGGCTGGGGCAACAGGCCAGCGAACGGCACAGAAGCAGGGGTATGAGCCGGGGTGTGACTATAGCGGGCTGCCACAGCACGAGGCGCAGTGTGACTATAGCGGGCTGCCAGAGCAAGAGCCAGAGTGTGACTATGGCGGGGTCGGGCGCCCGTGGCTCAGTGCAGCAGAGAGGTGGGTTAGGTGGAGCTTACCCTGACTCTTCCACCTTCCACGGGGAGAGGCAGGGGCAGAAACAGGGGGAGAGGCAAGGGGGGAGACAGGGGCAGCGGCAAGGGGAGGGGCAGGGGCAGCGACAGGGGCAGCAGAGCCATGGGCAGACGTGGGAGCAGGTACAGGCGCGTCATAAGGCCCAAGACCGCCAGCAGCAGCGCCTTTGGAATGATTCTGGCGAGTGCTCTGGGGAATGCTCTGGCAAGGCAACGATGAGTATGCGTGGCAGAGCTTTTGAGGCGCCTCTTAAGTCATCTCAGTACTCGGGGAAATGCTCTGGTGAGGGGCTGGGTGTGCGGGGCAGTGCGTTTGAGGCGGGGAAATCGTCTCAGTTCTCTGGGAAATGCTCGGATGGAGGGGTGGGTGTGCGGGGCAGTGGCCGATGCAGTGGCAGTGTGAGCAGGAGGTCTGGTAGCTGTGCTCCTGCTGCTCGAGGGTCACTGGGGCCTTATGGTAGTGTATCCGCTGCTGCTGCTGCTGCTGCTGCTGCTGGCAGTGCTGCCGCTGCTGCTAGCGCAGGTGCGCTGATCCCCATATCTGCTCGTGCTCGTGCTGGTGCTGGAGGAAACCTGTTTGGTAACGCCCCTCATAACGCCCCCAGTAACACTGCTGCTGGTAACACAGCTGCTGGTACCGCAGCCCCTGTGGCTCTCGAGCATATGACGAATCGAGCGGCGAGGATTCTCAAAGCTGCCGCAGCAGCTGCTGCCGCTGCTGGCAGAGACCAAGGATCCAACCACCTTACAAACCCATCCGCCCAACACCCAAAAGGGCCTCCTGCTTTTGAGTCGGCTCAGAACCCCGATCCCCGTTCTAAACCTTCCGCCCAACACCCTATGGCGCCTCCTGCTCCTCCTCCTCGCTCCTCCCATCCCCTCGCCCGTCTGCCTATCTCTGCCCCGCCCGAGTCGAGAAAGAGAAAGAGCCCGGATGGTGGGAGGGGAGGGGACGGCGGAAGGGGAGGAGGAAGGGAAGGAGGAAGGGAAGGAGGAAGGGAAGGAGGAAGGGAAGGAGGAAAGGGAGGACGAAGGGACGGGGAAAAGAATAACGACGTTGCTGACTGTGTTACCTCCTGCTATCGGGGTCCCTTGGGAGAGACTGAAGGGGTGGAAAAGGAGGGAGGGCGAAAGGTGCCCAGATGCAGTGGGAAGTTTGTTGGTGATGTGGGGAGGAGTAGGAGAGGGGAGGGAAAAGAGAAGGGGGAGAGGAGGGAGAAGAGGAAGGGGGAGACGGGAGAGGAGCGAAGAGAGGGGTTGGAGGTTGTGGGGGATGCTGCCTGGTTGGCCAGGAGACATGGGCTGGGGGTAGGTGGAGGGAAGGGAAAGGAGGGCGAGAAGGGAGGCCTGGGATTGAGAAGGGAAGGAGCAGCAGCAGGAGGAGGATTAGGAGGAGGTGGAGGAGGAGGTGGAGGAGGAGAAAAGGATCCATACACTCGGAAAGTGGAGAAAACTTTAGAAATGGCAGGTTTGAAAGCAGAGCTGAAGGATAGGAGAAGAGAAGAGGGAGAAGGCTTGGGACAGACCAAGGGAATTGGTGAACGAAGTATTTACAATGGAGAGAGGAAGGGATTGAAGCATCTGTACATGGGTGAGAAGAAGACAAGCAATGTGAGCCAGTTCTCCAAGTGGCACGGCGCCCTGCCGCCCAAAACCTTCCGCCGCCCGATGCAGCAGCAGAAGCTTCCGTTTGGTCTTCCAAGAAGCACTTCTGGTGGTGGTGGTGCTGCTGCTGCTGCTGCTGCTGGGAAAGGTTCTGCTGCTGGGAGTGGGAAACGTGCTGCAGGGACTGCTGCTGATGGCATGTTCGGCGATCGACTGACTGGCAAGGGTAGCGTGAGTAGCACTGGCGCCGCCGCCGCCGCCGCTGCTGCTGCTGCAGGTGCTGCTGCTTCGCTGTCCGTGTCGGTATCAGTATCTGTTCCTGGGGATCTTGCCCCTGATACCTCGGCAGCTGCTTCCGTAGCTGTGCCGGCGGTTCGGGCAGGTGGGCAGGCCGACGGACCTGTGGTTCGGAAATCAGGCTCGGGCAGCGGAGGGTTCATGCTGATTGGTCGGCAGAGCAGCCTCGGCAGGCTGGTATTGACTCAAGAAAGCAGCAGGGAAGGGGGGGGTGGGGGGGACCAAGCGAATGGGTCGAATCAGGAAGGTGATGCTGATGCTGATGCTGATGCTGATGCTTATGCTGCGGCACGAAAAACTATTGATAATGGTCAAGACAATGAAGAGAATGGAAAAACTGGTGCAGCAAGCACAGCAGCAGCCACAGTACCAGCAGTGACGGCAGCAACGGCAGCAACAGCAGCAACAGCAACGGTTACCACATCGGTAACAAGGCGATGGGACCTTGCAGGGGCGTCTGAGACCACAGGAGGTGTGGAGTACCCAAGGGGGGGAGATGCACGAAGCGCTAAGCCTTTTGAGGCGCCTCAAAAGTCTGTTACGAGGCGATGGGACCTTGGAGGGGCGTCTGAGACCACAGGAGGTGTGGAGTACCCAAGGGGGGGAGATGCACGAAGCGCTAAGCCTCCTGCTGCAGACATTTTCTTAGACTCCCTGGCAGATATGCTGCTGGGGGAGAATGATGCCGCTGCCCCAGCGCCGCTGACTGCTTCTGGGTGGATTAACCGCCGTCAGCCGTCCCTTAGGGCTGCTACTGCTACTGCTACTGCTACTGCTACTGCTGCTGCTGGTGGTGGTGGTTCTGCCACTGCTGCTGTTGCTCCTGAATCTGCCGCTGCTGCCGCTGATCCTTTCTTCGGGTCCCTGGCAGGGATGCTGCTGGGGGGGAGTGACGCTGTTATTCCAGCGCCGCTGACTGCTAGCGGGTGGATTAACCGCCGTCAACCTTGCCTTGCGGCTGGTAGAGGTGGTGGTGGCGCTGCCACTGCTGCTGATTCTCGCGCTGCTGCTGCTCCTGATGATTCTCGTGCTGCTGCTGGTGGTTACGCTGCTGCTGGTGGGGAGGGCGGGAACGAGCAGCAGGCACAGAAACAGGGGGGCGACAGAGAGGAGGCGGAAGAGAGGGAGCAGGAAGCGGAAGGAACAGCATTTGCAACAGGAATGCAGACGATATTTGAGGGGAATAAAAGGGTGGAGCAGGGGGAGGAGGTGGAAGAGAGGGGGAAATCAGAGGAAGGAGCGGAAACAGCAGCAGCAGCAGGAGCAGCAGCACGCGCGAAAGCAACAGGAGAAACGGAAGCATCAGCAGCAGCGGAAAGAGCAGAAGAATTGGAAATAGCAGCAGCAGCAGGAACGCGGATGAGCCTCAGGCGTGGACGCAAGCCCACGAAGCCTTGCAAGATTGAGCTGCGACGCCACAAAAGGTTGGGGAAAGGGAAGGGAGAAGTGGAAAGGGAGGAGGGAGAGGAGGAAGAGGGGGAGCAGCGAGAGGAAAGAGAGGAAGCAGCGATGAGCCTCAGGCGTGGACGCAAGCCCACGAAGCCTTGCAAGATTGAGCTGGGACGCCCCAAAAAGGTGGGGAAAGGGAAGGCGGTGGAAGAGGAGGAGGACGTGAAGGAGGTGGAAGGGAGGGAGGAAGTGAAGGAGGTGGAAGGGAGGGAGGAAGTGAAGGAGGTGGAAGGGAGGGAGCATTTAAGGGAAGAAGCAGAGGTGGTGGGAGCAGGGATGAGTCTCAGGCGTGGACGCAAGTCTGGGAATCCTCATAAGCTGGTACCGGAGCGGCCTAAGGGGGTGGGGAAAGTGAAGGGGGGAGAAGTGGAATGTAAGAGAGGAGGGAAAGCCAAAGGGAAGGCGAATGAAGAGAATGAGAATGGAAGAAATGGTTCCCCTCGCTGCACGCGGTCACGAGGGAGAGCAGAGGAGGAAGAGAAGGAAGAGGAGGAAGAGAAGGAGGAGGTGGAAGAAAAGGAAGAGGAGGTAAAGGGGGAAGAGGAGGAGCGAAGGGAGAGGAGAAGTGGCAATGGAAAGACGAGGAATTCAAATCAAGGGGCAAGAAATAAGGGCGACGCTGTGGTTGGTGGTCGTTCCACGCACCACACGCGATCACGAGGGGGAGTAGAGGAATCTGGGAATTTGGGCAGGGGAATGGTTACACGACAACGGATGGTTACGGGGGCTAGTATGCAGGGGATAGCTGGAAAGCGCGGGGTGCAGATAGGAGAGGAGAAGCGAGGGCAGGGAGTGAGGCGAGGAGTGGGAAGAGGAGGGAAGGGAAGGGGGGGAAGGGTGCGAGGTGAGAGAGGGAATAAGGGGGTGGAACAGGTGGAAGGGGGAGAGGGGGAAAGTGAAGTGGAAGAGGTAGGAAAGGAGGGGGAGGAAGAAGAAAGGAAGGGTGAGGAGGAGGAGAGAGAGGAGAAAGGAGATGGTGGTGAGGAAGAGGAAAGGAAAGGAGAGGAGGAGAAGAGAGAGGAGGAAGCGAAGGGAGGGGAGGAGGAGAAAGGGGAGGATGAGATGGAAGAGGAAGAGAAGAGCGAGGAGGAAGGCCAAGGGGAGGCACAAGAGCAGGGAGCTGGGTTGAAGGGAGGTGATAGAGGGAATGATGATGGGGGGAAAGATGGGGGGAAGGGCTGGGGAAACGACAGTGGTAACGATGGGGAGAATGACGGAAAGGGAGGTGAAAATGGTGGGAAGGGGACAGAGAGAGCGAAAGATCAAGGTGGGCTAGAGGAGAGGGGGAGGGAAGGGGGAACTGCGGATGGGGAGACGAGAGAAGGGCATGGGAGGGGGGAAAGGGAAGGGGACGGGAAAGAAGGGGAGGAGATGGAAGAAGGAGAGGAAAGGGAAAAGGGAGTAGAAGAATGGGGAGGGAATGAGGGAGGGGATGCTAAGAAGGAAGAGAAGGACTTCAGAACTGGGAAGAACGGAGAATATGAGAATGATGAGTGGCGGGTGGGGGGGAGAAAGGAGGAGGAGAGGGAGGAGGAAAGCGAGGAGAAAACGGAGGAGGAGAAACGAGAAGAGGACAGGTTGGAGGAAAGGGAGGCAAGTATAGAGGAGGGGAGGATGGAGGACGAAGAGAAAGGAAGGGATGAACAGAAGAAGTTTGTGGATGGAAGCAATGGTGAGGGAGAGAAGGAGGCGGAGGGGGAGACGGCGGAGGATGGGGAGGCGAAGGAGAAAGAGGAGGAGGAAGAGGAGGAGGAGGAGAAGAAAGACGAGGAGAAAGATGCGGGGGAAGAGGAGAAAGAGGAGGGGGAAGAAGAGGGGGAAGAGGGGGCGAAAGAGGAGGCGAAAGAGGAGGATAAAGAGGCAGAAAACGAGAGGGAGGAAGAGGAAGATGAGAATGGGGAGGCAGCAGGGGTGAAAGAGGAAGGGGAGGAGGAAGGGACGGGGGGTGGGGATGGGTCGGAGGTTGGGGAAAGGGGCCAAGGAGAGGGAGAAGCTGCGGGTGAGGAGCAAGGAGATAAGGAAGATGAAGAGGAGGTAGAGGAAGAGAAAGGGGAGGAGGAGGAAGAGAAAGGGGAAGAGGAGGAGGAGGGTGAGGAAGGGAACGAGGGTGAGCAAGAAGGTGGAGGGGAGGAGGGTGAGAAAAGGGAAGAGGGAGAGAAGGCAAGGAAAGAAGAGGTGGAAGGCGAAGAAGGGAAAAAGGGAGAGGAGGAGGTGGAGGAAGGGGAAGAGGGAGAGGAAGTGGAGGAAGGGAAAGAGGAGGGGGAGGGTGTTGAGGTGGAAAAGGGACAGAAGGAAATGAAAGAAGAGGTGGAGGAAGGGGAAGAGGGAGAGGAAGTGGAGGAAGAGAAAGAGGAGGGGAAGGGTGATGAAGGGGAAAAGGGAGAGGAGGAAGGGAAAGAGGAGGTGGAGGAAGGGGAAGAGGGAGAGGAAGTGGAGGGAGGGAAAGAGGAGGGGAAGGGTGATGAAGGGGAAAAGGGACAGAAGGAAAGGAGAGACGAGGTGGAGGAAGAGGAAGTGGAGGGATGGAAAAAGGAGGGGGAGGAAGAGAAAGAGGAAGGGGAGGAAAGGGAGGAAGGGGAGGAGGGAGAGGAAATGGAGGAAGGGAAAGAGGAGGTGGTGGAAAGGGAAGAGGGAGAGAAAGTGGAGGGAGGGGAAAAGGAGGTGGAGGGCGAGGAAGGGGAAAAGGGAGAGGAGGAAGGGAAAGAGGAGGGTGAGGAAGTGGAAGATGGAAAGAAGGAAGAACGAGAGGAGGTGGAAGACGGGGAAGAGGGAGAGGAAGTGGAGGGTGAGGAAGAAAGGGTCCTGAACTTAGTGGATGGTATTGAGGAAGGGGAGGAGTGTGAGAGAGGGAAAGAGGGAGAGGAGGAAAGGGAAGAGGAGGTGGAGGAAAGGAAAGAGGAGGTGGAGGAAAGGAAGGAGGAGGCGGAGGAAGGGGAAGAGGGAGAGGAGGAAGGGAAAGAGGTTGACGGTGAGGGTGAGGAAGAAGAGCTCCTGATTGCAATGGAGGATATCGAGCAAGGGGAGGAGAATGCGGAAGAGGGAGATAACGAGGAGGAGAGAGAGGAAGAGGGTCGGGAGATAGAGCACGGAGAGGAGGAAACGGAAGTGAAAGAGGAAGAGGGTCACGAGGAAGAGCATGGGGAGGAGGAAGCGGAAGAGGGAGAGGAAGAAGGAGAGGAAGAAGGAGAGGTTCAGGAGATTGAGGAGCGAATTGAGAAAGCGGGAGTTGGAGTGAGAGGGAACTCTGGAGCAAGCTTTGGGGGGAGAGAAGAGCAGCGAAATGGGGAAGGGCAAGAGGGAAGTGAGGAGGAAGAGGAGCAGGAAAGGAAGGATGAGTTGGCAAACGAGGGAGCGGAAGAGGAAGAGGAAGAGAGAGAGGGAGAGGCGAAAGAAGAGGGAGGACTGGAGGAAGAAGGTGTGATGCATCGAGCGACAGAGAAGGAGCGAAGGGAGATGGAGCATGCGGGGGATGTTGGAAAGCAGCAGAAGGGGAGGGAAAACGGGAAGGAGGGGGAGGAGACTGAGGGAAGTGGGGCGAAGCGAAGGGGTGCGCAGGTGCAGGGAGGTGGAGAGGGGGAGGATGGTGTGGGAGGGACGGTGGGATGCAGGAAAAGAAGAAGGGAAGAGGGTGATGGGGGTAGGGAGGGGGGCGTGGAAGAGGAGAGGCAGCCTAGTTGTATGGTTGCTCAAGGGATGAGTGAGGGAGGAGCAGGGTTGCATGCAGGGGCAGAAAAGTTACCTGAGGAGGGAGTTGAGAATGGGAAAAAGGGAGGAGCAGGTGCAGGAGCAGGAGCAGGAGCAGGAGCAGGAGCGGGAGCGGGAGCAGGAGCGGGAGCGGGAGCAGGAGCGGGAGCAGGAGCGGGAGCAGGAGCGGGAGCAGGAGCGGGAGCAGGAGCAGGAGCGGGAGCGGGAGCAGGAGCAGGAGTGGAGAGTGGTAATGCAGGGTCGAGCATGCATGAGGAGGACGAGGTGGTTGGAGGGACGAATAAGAAACGAAGGACAGTACAGGGCCGCGTATCAACTCTGGTGGATTCACCTCAGAAATCGTCTCAGCACACGAAAAAGAAGACAGTGCAGAGTGGCAAAGCAAAGTGTGTTGATGCTGAGTCCCCTCAGGGATCGTCTCAGCGCACGAAAAAGAAGACAGTGCAGAGCAACGTAGCACCGCTGGTTGAGTCGCCTCAAGGATCGTCTCAGCTCACTAAAAAGAGGGCGGTGCAGAGCAGCATAGCAGCACTTTTCCTGAGAAGAGCTGGGGGAAAGCCTGTGAGTCAGTCGAGAAAAGGGGGTGTGGGAGCGGGGGATGTGGGAATGGGGGGTGTGAAAGCGGGGGGTGTGGGAGGGGGGGGTATGGAAGCGGGGGGTGAGGGAGGGGGGGGTATGGAAGCAGGGGGTGTGGGAGCGGGGGTTTTGGGAGAGGTAGAGAGGGGGAGCCATCAGCAGGGAGACATGCAGGGAGCGACGTGTGGGGAGGAAGCAGCAGTGGGAGTGAGTGGGGTGGCTTGTGCGAAGGCAGGAGGGGGGGGTGCAGGGACGAGGACGGAAGGGGGAAGTGCAGATGCGAAGGCAGGTGGGGGGAGTGCTGATGCGAAGGCAGGTGGTGCAAGTGCTGGGGCAAGGACGGGTGGAGGGAGTGCGGGGAGGAAGACGAAGGGGCGGTTGCAGGATATTCGACAGTGGTTGGGAGTGGTGGTGGATGGCGGGAAGAGGTTGGAAGAAGGGAAGGGAGAGAGAGGAGGGCTGGAGGGAAGGAATGGAGAGGGACAGAGAGGGGGGCTGGGAGGAGGGGATGGAGGAGGAGAGGGAGGAGAGGGAGGAGAGGGAGGAGAGGGAGGAGGGCATAAACGGAAGAAAGCGTCGAAGGGGGGAGAGAAGCAGGAAGCGTTGGAGAGGGGAGGGCAGGAAGAAAGCGGGAAGGGGCTTGCTTTGAGACGCCTCATATCACAGGAGGAGTGGCGGATGGAGCCTCAGGCTGTATCATCTTCCCTCAACAGCAACAGCAGCGCCGCTGGTGCTGCTGCTTCTATCAGTAATTGTACTCCCACCACCAACAATACCAACCCCAACAACAACGCCACCCCCAACAGAAACACCAAGCGTGCGTCCAAAAAAGCTGCCAGTAGAATCAAATCTGTGGCTGCTGGGGCTGCTGGTGGTTCGCGGCCACCTCCCTTCAACCCCTCCCACAAGCTCACTCCTCAGAAGCGACAAGCTGACTGTCTCTCTGCAATAGCTCCTTCCTTCTCGGACCACTCCTGCTCGCCTCCTCTTACTCATGCCCCCTCTCCCCCTCCCCAGATGGGTGTTGAGAAATGTGAGAGAACAGCTCCCTCATTCTCTGAGCACTCCTGCTCCCCTCCTCTTACTCATACGGATTGCTGCACCCCTCAAAAGCGACAAGCTAGTCGCCTGCATTCCCCTTCACCTGCTTCTCCTCCTGCTTTGCCTCCTGCGTCTCCCGCTTCTTCTTCTCCTCCGCCTGCTCCCTCTCCTCCCACTGCTCCCCCTGCTCCCCGTGTTCCCGCTCCTCCTTCTGCTCCCCCTGCTGCCCCTTCCCCCCCTGCCCCTTCTGCTCCTTCTGCACGTGGGAAGGCCTTGGAAACGCCTCTAAACCCCTGTGAGAAGGGCTGAGGGATCATGTGAGAAAGAGAAGGGTTCTCGGAGCAAGCTTGGCCCGCTAGCCTCTCTTTTTCACAGGCGCCAACAGTCTCGTGCCGCGCTGCCTGCTTCTGCTACTGTCCTTCCCACTACCCCTCCCGCTGCCCCTCCCATTTCTCAACCCACTGCCCCAGCCTCATCTCTCGACATGAACACTGTTCCTTTCACCCATCCAGCTGCCACAGCACCAACCCCTCCTCTCGCCTTCCCTTCCGTTCCTATCACTCGCCCGCATTTTGTGCCGCAAGAGTTTACGAGCCTACACGTTTTCACCGACCCTGCCACCATGCCTGTCACCGTGCCTATCACCAAGCCTCCTGCCGTACCTGGTGGTGCTGCTGAACCTGATCCTGGCGCTGCTGGTCACAAGCTCGGGGGAGGTTCGGGGAAAGGTGGGGCAGGAAAGGAGGGGGTAACTGGTGCGGATTTACCTGGTGTTGGTGATGCTGTAGTGGGGTTAGGGAGCGAGGGGAGTGGGGGTGTGGGTGAGGGGGTGGCAGTGGAAAAAGGCTCTCTGGGCCTGAAACGAGTGACTGCTGCCGATCGTGAGAAGACGGGCGGTCATGCTTCAAGGATGGCTGGAGTTGAGACGATGTGGGGAGGGATGGAGGGAGGGATGGGAGGAGGGATGGAAGGAGGGATGGAAGGAGGGATGGGCGGAGGGATGGGCGGAGGGCTTAGGGAAGGTGTGGAGAACGGAGATACAGAAGGTGTTTCAGGAACAGGGATGGAGAAAGGAGGGAGGGCAGGGATGTCAGGAGCCGCTGTTCGCCTGATGGGGTTCAACTTGACGCTCTCTCAAACACCAGTCACCACCACCACCACCCCTGCTGCTGTTGCATCACCACTCTCCTCACGTCCGTGTCTCAACTGCACGCCACCCCCACACCCCGCTGCTTCTCCCTCCCACGCCTCTCGCTCCCGTCTCTCCCTCTCCTTTGTCTCCGATCCTGCTCTTCCCGATGCTTTAGAGCCAGTAATCGGCTCGCAAGACAGCCTCGTGAGGAGCTACTGGGAGGGTGCGGTTTTTGAGTCTCCTCAGAAGTCTATAAAGAAGTCTGCTCAAAAAGGTACCAGGGAGTCGGCTCGAAAGGCTGTTTCTGAGTCGCCCCAGAAAGTTGTTCCTGGGTCGCCTCAAGTATCTATCTGCTCGCAAGACAGTCTGGTGAGAAAGTACTGGGAGGGGGTGGGAGGGGCGTCAGTGGAGGCGTGTGAAAGAGAGGAGGAGCGAGAGGGGAGATCGAAGGGAGGGAAAGGGGAGGATGTGGCGAGCGGAGGAGATTGGAGGGGAGGAGCTGTTGAAATGAGGAGCGCCCGTGGTTTATTCACGCAGGCGAATACTGTCAGATCACAGGCCAAGGGTGGAAGCACATGTGAGGCGTTTGTTGCACCAGCTGCTATCGCATCAGCTACTATTAGATCAACGCCTGCTGCCGCTGCTGCTGCTGCTACTGCTGGAATGAGGAGTGCCCGTGGTTTATTCACGCAGGCGAATACTGTCAGATCACAGGCAAATTTCGGCGTCGCTTGTGAGACGTTTGCAGCAGCTGCTCTCCCACCAGTTGGCAATACACCGGGCATTATCACTCCAGGTGCTAACATTCGGGCTATTATCTCACCAACTGCTAGCACTGGGGGTACTAACACACCTGCTCATATCATGTCAAGTCCCATCACACCAGTTCCTCTCGCTCCAATCGCACCAGCTGCTATCGCACCAGCTAGCAATACGCCGGGTATTTTCACTCCAGGTGCTAACATTCGGGCTATTATCTCACCAACTGCTAGCACACCTGGTACTATCACATCAGGTGCTAACACTCCGGTTACTATCACACCAGGTGCTAACACTGGGGGTAGTAACACAAATGCTCATATCATGTCAGGTCCCATCACACCGGTTCCTCTCGCTCCCATGGCAAAACCTGCTAACACTCCGGTTGCTATCACACCAGGTGCTAACACTGGGGGTAGTAACACAAATGCTCATATCATGTCAGGTCCCATCACACCGGTTCCTCTCGCTCCCATGGCAAAACCTGCTAACACTCCGGTTGCTATCACACCAGGTGCTACCACTTTGGTTACTAACACACCAGCTCATATCATGTCAAGTCCCATCACACCAGTTTCTCTTGCTCCAATCGCAGCAACTGCTATCGCACCAGTTGGTAATACACCAGGCACTAACGCATCATCTGCTAACACTCTGGGTACTATGGCACCTGCTGTTCACACGTCAGGTATTACTAACACATTCGCGCATATCATGGCAAGTCCCATCACACCAGTTTCTCTTGCTCCAATCGCAGCAGCTGCTATCACACCAGCTGGTAATACACCAGGCACTAACGCATCAGCTGCTAACACTCTGGGTACTATGGCACCTGGTGCTAAGATGTCAGGTACCATCATGTCAAGTCCCATCACACCAGTTCCTCTCGCTCCTGTTGCAGCAGCTGCTGCTTTTGCATTCGCTGGTTTCGCTGGTGCTTGGGGGTGCACCACGCAGCAACAACAGGGGCAGCTGCAGCAGCAGCAGCAACAACAGCAGCAGCAGCAACAGGGGCAGCAGCATTTGCAGCAGCAACTTCAGCAGCAGCTGCAGCACCATCAGCACCACTGGCAGCAGCACCAGCAGCACCAGCAACAGCAGCAGCAGCAGCAGCAGCCTCATCAGAAAATGCAAGCAACCATTCAAAATCAACCGCAGCAGCAGCACCAGCAGCAGCAGAGCGAGCTGCAGCGAAATGTTTCACAGCCAGTGCAGCAGCACAGTCATCCAGAACCACAGGAGCAAGGCCAGGAGCAGATGCAACAGATGCAGCAGATGCAGCAGATGCAGCCGAGGGTTGTGCAGCCGAGTGCTGTGCAGCCGAGTGAGATGCAGCAGAGGGCTGTAGAGCCAGTGCACCAGCACAGTCATCCAGAAACCCAGGAGAAAGTCCAGCAGGAATGCTCCTTGGCAAAACCGAAGGCAGTGAGGGGAAAACCCAAGTCAGTGAGAGGGAAACCTAGGAAAGGTTCGAGAATGCAGCCACCACAGCAGGAGCAAGAGGAGCAGCAACAGCAGCAGTGCATTCCTCCAGATCCACAAACGCAAGCCCAGCAGGAATCCCCCTTAGCAAAACCAAAGGCAGTGAAAGCAAAAGCAAGGAAAGCGTCGAGAATTCAGCCGCCACAGCAGAATCAAGAGGAGCAGCAACAGTGTTGGCAGCAGCAGCAGCAGCAGCAGGGAACAGCGGTATTACAAGAGCAAGTCCAGCAGCAATGCTCCTTGGCAAAGCCGAAGGCAGTGAAAGCAAAAGCAAGGAAAGCGTCGCGAATTCAGCCGCCACAGCAGAATCAAGAGGAGCAGCAACAGTGTTCGCATCAGCAGCAGCAGCAGCAGCAGCAGCAGCAGCATCTGCAACAGCTGCAGGGAGCAGTGGCAACACAGGCTGCTATCAGAACAGCAGCACCCACTCTGCAGCAAGCTGGGTTTCGACCGTATGTGAATCGGCAGCAGCAGCAGCAGCAGCAGCAGCCTGTATTGGGTGTGACAGCAGGACAGCAGCAACAGCAGCATCAGCAGCAACAGCAGCATCAGCAGCAACAGCAGCATCAGCAGCAACATCAGCAAAACCAGCATCAATATCAGCAGCAGCATCACCATCATCATCAGCAGCAGCAACAGCAACACCATCAGCATCAGCAGCAACAGCATCAGCATCAGCAGCAACAGCATCAGCAGCAACAGCATCAGCAGCAGCAGCAGCAGCACAACCTGAAAGCTACACAGCCCTCTTGTGTTCACTCCCAACAGACTCTCAACCAGACCCCCATTACCCAAAACCCCACTATCGTTTGCCAAACTCCAAACAATACCATCCATGTTCCCGGCCTTCCGAATTCCACTCAGCCTTCTGCCCACACTGATCAGTCTGCTCCTTTCAACCGAGCAATCACCGCCCACCACACTCCAAACTACGCCACCCACGTACCTGCCGTTCCACACACCACTGGGGCTTCGAGCTACACTCCTCCTAATCAGTGTACCTATCACATTCCCAGTCAGTCTACCCACCACACTCCCTCTCAGCCTGCTCACCACACTCCCAGTTGGTCTATCCACCACACTCCCTTTCACTCCACCCACCACACTCCCCCTCACTCTACCCACCACACTCCCAATCACAGCAGCATAGCTTCAAGTCACCCGAACCTCACCCCAGCTAAACCAAACCTCAACCCACCTCACCCGAACCCCAGCCCAGCCCATCCAAGCCCCGTGCCTGCTCGACGGAGTCTGGGCACCCTAGAGGTGTTTCTAGCAGCGGTGCGGCGAGCACAGGAGGTGGAGCAGGTTCCTGGGTACATAAATGAGGCTTTAGACCAACTGGTGACTGTCCTTGTGCTGAATAGAGGGAGTGGAGCGGCTGAAGTGACGATGCGAACGGCGCTCCTGCAGAGATGGCTTGAGTCCACGAGTGAGTATGAGGTGGATGATTGAAGCAGGAGGTGTGGGAATGTGTTGCAGAGAGGGAACGAGGCGGCTGAAGTGGCGATGAGAGTGGCGCTCCTGCAAAGATGGCTCGAGTCGACGCAGGAGTATGAGGTCGATGATATCTGACTGAAGCAGGAGGTGGGGGGAAGTGGAGGTCTCTTGCGGCTGAAGTGGCGATGAGAGTGGAGCTCCTGCAGAGATGGCTTGAGTCCACGAGTGAGTGTGAGACTGATGACTGATAGGCAACACAATAATTACTTGTACGATTTTATAATCAATAAGTATGACTTGAGTAACACAATGCTGCTTATAGTATGAGATTTCCAGGTACTACCTTCCTTTGTGCCTTCCTTAGGCTTTTAGGTACTAATGTACGAACTACGAACCAATTCAGTTATTCCAGACTGTTTACCTGTATATATAACCGAAACTCGGCTTGCAAGTGTAGCAGAGATATTTGTATACGGTATGAGCTGAGGTGTTACGAACTTTGAATGACACGAGTTGCCATTTGCATGGCATGAGGAAAGTACTCCCTTCCATCTGCGAAGGACAATGAGGAAGAAAGGGAAGAATGGATGAAGCAAGGAAGGTGATATTTGAGAGACACGCACTGCCCCTCCTTTAACACTGCAGAATAGGGCATCACCTGGTTTTTGAGAATTCTCAGAAACACGCACCACTGCCCCTCCTTTAACACTGCAGAATAGGGCATCACTTCACAGCGTGTATGCAAGCATAGCAGCCACATCACATCTTACATATGAGCACGTGGTTGAGCAGGTGAAACAGCTGGTACACGCTCTGCCTCTCCTCAAACCCTCAAGAGCGCTGTGCTTGTGCCACATGCACATGCAATAAAGCATGTATGCAGTGAAGAAACAACACTACTCACATATGAGCACGTGGTTTAGCAGGTGAAACAGCTGGTACACGCACTGCCTCTCCTCAACCGTCAAGAACCTTGGGCGACTGCCAGATGCATCTGGCACATACCCAAGGTTCTTGACGGTTTGTGTGATACAGAATGCGTCCACACAGTGAGGAAAGAGCACTACTCACATATGAGCACGTGGTTTAGCAGGTGAAACAGCTGGTACACGCTCTGCCTCTCCTCAAACCCCGCCGCCCTGGGAATCACTTGGTGATACGCATCGTAGAATGAGTCAGCTGCATGTGGCAGGGGAAGGAGACGTGACAACAGGGCGACAGGGCAACAACACAGGATGAAACCGCTGATACACGCATCGTGAAGCAGGGAGGCCTCAGAGCCCGCAGCCCTGGGAATCACTTGGTGATACGCGTCGTAAAAAGCATCGGCTGCATGTGGGGGGGGGAGGAGACGAGACAACAGGGTGACAGGGTTAGGGAGCGGAGAGGAGCAAGAGGCAACTAATCGCATGCAACAGTGCATCGGTGTAATGGGTAGAACGGGTTGAAATGAGCACAGGAGGCGAAGGGGGAAAAGGAAAAAAAGGACGAGGGCACACAAGGAAAGCAAAATGAGGTGATTTTTTAGGCGCCTAAAAAATCACCTTGTGTGCAATGAGCACAGGCGAATGGGGAGAAGGAAGCAAAGGACGAGAGCACAGAAGGCAAGAAAAATGAGGGAACGAGAGGAGAAAAGAGGAGTGGAGGAGGAGGGAACACGAGGAGGGACGGAAGAGGAAAGGAGGAGGGAGTGCGAGGAGGGAAGGAGGAAAGACTCACAGAAGCCAGGAAAGCCAGGCGCGGGCTTCCAACCTTGAAAAGCGAGATCTGATTCATGTAGAGTGGGGAAAGAGGAGATTACTTTTGAGAATTCTCAAGAGAGAAACGCTCTCTCACTTTTGAGAATTCTCTCAAGTGATTTTCATGTAGAGAGCGGAGAGAGGAGATACACTGCGTGTAAGATGTGTAATCGATCAAGTGTCTGACCATATGCCCACTGAATCAATCAAGTGTCTGATTGATATGATATGTAGTTACGTGCCTGATACGATCCCACATACAGCGAGTGGGATCCCGAAATCAGTGTCTCATGATGGTACAGAATTAAAGTGTTAGAAACAGTGTTATGAATGCGTTACCGCACCGAATTCAGAGTGCCCAAAGAAGCCTGCTGGATCAAACATCACAGCCTCGCCCGATCGAAGCACCCCCGCGTTGCCCACCTGGGGACGGATTGGGGAGGGGAGAGGTGGGGGTTGAGGGGAGAAAGGAGAAGAGGGCAGGCAGGTACACAGACTTTGAGTCGACTAAAGAGAAACCCTGCCGGATCAAACATCACTGCCTCGCCCGATCGAAGCACCCCCACGTTGCCCACCTGAGAATGGTAGGGGAGAGGGGGAGGGAGGGAGAACACAGATGAAAGCATGTTATGAATGTGTTACTGCACCGAATTCAGAGTGCCCATAGAAGCCTGCCGGGTCAAACATCACTGCCTCGCCCGATCGAAGCACCCCCGCGTTGCCCACCTGGGGACGGATTGGGGAGAGTAAGGGCAGGCAGGTACATAGACAGACTGAGTTGAATCAGAAGAATGCTGCATTGAGACGCCTCAACATAAGAACCCTGCCGGATCAAACATCACTGCCTCGCCTGATCGAAGCACCCCCGCGTTGCCCACCTGGTGACAGATAGGGAAGGCACGCACAGAAGGAGGGCAAGGAGGGCAGGTAACACCACCTTTGAGTCGACTTTGAAATATCCTATCGGTTCAAACCAAACATAGCTGCCTCGCCCGATCGAAGCACACCCGCATTTCCCACCTGTGAATAGGTAGGGAAGGGGAGGTGGGTAAGAAGAAACACAAATGCAGAGACAAGGCGGGCAGGTGGGTAATGGATTGATAAACTGATGACACATGCCGGGAAACACGGGAAATACGGGAAGTGCCCAAAAGCCACGTGGTTTGATTATATGCACCCTGCAATGTATTCATTTCTAAAAAAAGTGTGATAAATGAGAAATTGATGTGCAAAGATGATTGTAAAAAGGCATTCTCACACACTCAGAACATAACACATAAGGGTATTACCCAAAGGTCTCCATCCACCTGTGAATAGGTAGGGAAGGGGAGGTGGGTAAGAAGAAACACAAATGCAGAGACAAGGCGGGCAGGTGGGTAATGGATTGATAAACTGATGACACATGCCGGGAAACACGGGAAATACGGGAAGTGCCCAAAAGCCACGTGGTTTGATTATATGCACCCTGCAATGTATTCATTTCTAAAAAAAGTGTGATAAATGAGAAATTGATGTGCAAAGATGATTGTAAAAAGGCATTCTCACACACTCAGAACATAACACATAAGGGTATTACCCAAAGGTCTCCATGAAGCAGGCTCGGCCGAACGTCCGCCATAGCTTCGGTTGTCAGGATCCGCTCAGACGCCTCAACCAGGCTCGGGACGATGTCTTGAAGCTCCCGAGCCTCGTCACCGAACCTAGCCAGAACTCGCTGGTGAAGAGAGGATATTTTTTAGGATAAAACACGGGTAAGTGGTAGATAAAACATAGCTGGCGACACCAGCTTAGTGATGGTCGGTATTAAGTGCTGGGTACGTATGCAGGGAAGTACTGTTTTGAGACGTATCAAAACTCAGATAACCCAAGTAAGTGCATAGCTGGCAACACCGGCTCGGTGTTGGTAGGTATTAAGTGCTGGGTACGTATGCAGGGAAGCACTGTAGAAATATAATTTGTGCACATGCGATGACAGTGAATGTTGCACTGAAAGATTTGAACGTAATGCTGAGATATAGATTCTGGGGAACGCGGTACATGCATGATGCAATGAATGCTGGTGCCTATCGGGAATGAGGCGGCACAGCAGAGAATGCTGCAGCAATAGATTAGTAGATAATTTTAACTAAGCATGTAGATGGGACATACGTCGAGCCGGTCTTGTAACCGGTGGGTGAGGAAGAAGCGTGACCAGGAGGACGAGAGGGGCGTGTTGACTGGAGGCATTACGCCCAGGCTGGAAGAGGGGGCAAAGGGAACGACATAAACGTACATACATATATGAACAATGTAGGTCAGTTTTTTTTTTTGCATGGAGCTGTACTGCAGGGGAGTGCTGGATAAGAAACACGGTTTCATGTATCCGTACCGTGTGGGCGAGTTGAAACCGAACTGAACCCCAGGCATGGCAGATGACACGAGGTGCAGCTGTGCCAGTGACCGGCCTAGCTGCTCCTGATTGGCCGGATCCATCTGAAATGACACAAGAAGGGGGGTGTGGGGGGGGGAGAGGGGGAAGAAGGAGGGGTGAAGATGAGGAAGCGGGGTCGCAGAGCAATCCGATTTCGTTAGAGGTTCCTCTCTAGCCTATTATCGAGTCATGGGACTCGACTCGGTACAAAAGGATAGTGCCAAATATTGAGCCCTAATATAGGGCTCTGAAAATGAGGACTTGGGGCATTGAGTTTGCACCATGGCGAATGGTCGCAGCTGCAAATGCTCCATGATTATGAATGATCCCCGGTGCGCCTCGTTGCTTGGGGTAGTGGCAGAGGAGGGGGGAGAAGAGGAGGAGGAGGAGGAGGAGGCGGTTCGAAAGTCCCCTGTTGCGATTGGCTGAGGCACTCGCACAGTCGCCGTTGCTGCAATTGCTGACAGGCTGGCAGGCGAGGGGGAGTGGGAGGGGTTGGGGATGGGGGGGATGGGGGTGGAGAGGGGTGGAGAGGGGTGGAGAGGGGTGGGAAGTAGGAGGATTGGCTGAGGCACTCGCACGGTCTCCGTTGCTGCAATTGCTGACAGGCTGGCAGGCGAGGGGGGTGTGGAAGGAAGGGTGATAGGATGAGGAAGGATGGGTGATAGGGATGAGGAAGGATGGGTGATAGGGATGAGGAAGGATGGGTGATAGGGATGTGGAAAGATGGGGGAAACGAAGAAGCTGTGAATGACTGGGATACGGAAACGAACGAGGCGTGGGGAGGGGTGCATGGAGACATGGTGAGGGTGAGGGGCATGGAACGTAGGAGGGTATGGAGGAAGGAGAGGGGTGAGGAGGAGGGGGGTGTATGACTGGGATATGGAAATGAACAGGGCGTGGGGAGGGGTAGATGGCGACTTTGAGTCAACTCAAGAGGCGTAGGGAAGGGTACTTGGAGAGGCATGGTGAGGGGCATGGGAAGGAGATTATGGAGGAAGGAGAGGGGTGAAGAGAGGAGAGGGGTGTAATGGGGAGCATTGGTACGTGCATGGATATGAAAAGCACGCGAATGGGTACAGGAAGGATTAATAATGCCCGCGCCCTCGGCCCGCGCCCGCGGCCCGCGCCCGCGGCCCGCGTCCGCTCCCCGCGCCCCCGCCGGACGATGGATGGTGGTGGGTGGTGGTGCGTAATGGTGCGAGGCGGATGCGGAGCAGGGGCGCGTGAGCGGGCGGTTTCTTCTGCTCTCATGCATCTGTTCATGCCTCGGTTGTCATGCATCAGCTGTCATTCATCTGCTGCCGTACATCAGCTGTCATTCATCTGTTGTGTCAGATGCCATGCATATGTTAGGATGCACGTGTGATCATGAATCTGTTGCAGCGTGGGAAGGGGCATGGGAATGGGCATGGAAAGGGGCATGGGGCGATAGAGGTACAATTTGCGACAAGGCACAAAGCAAAGAAAAAGCAGGCAGTAACCAGACACAGAAGGCAGAAAGGCACAGCACTCACATCTGCGCTTCCCCTTCAAACATCTCGCTCGCTCTGAAGCTCCTGTGTGGGTGAATGCATGGGGGCGAATTTATGCATACGGTTTAGGCATGGAGAGAGGGGCTTAAAGGAGAGGGGTTTAGGGAAAGGCATGGGCGAATGCATGGGGACGGACGGAGGGAACAGAGGGATGATGCTGGAAAATGGGAGAACGTGCTACATGGGTTGGGCATAATTGACTCCTCATATGCAGAGAAAAGGGGGATTACCCCCTCCTCTCCCCATCCTCTCCCCATCCTCTCCCCATCCTCTCCCCATCCTCTCTCCATCCTCTCCCCATCCTCTCCCCATACTCTCCCCATCCTCTCCCCATCCTCTCCCCATCCTCTCCCCATCCTCTCTCCATCCTCTCCCCATCCTCTCCCCATACTCTCCCCATCCTCTCCCCATCCTCTCCCCATCCTCTCCCCGTCCTCTCCCCATACTCTCCCCCTCCTCTCACCTGTTCACTTTCACAAAGACCGTCCTCAGACCCCCGTCTCCCCCTTCCCCACCCCTCACTCGACCTTCCCCCCCCCCTCCCCTTCCCTCATCTCTCTTCCCCCCAATCCCCCCAAGCCCCACACACCCCACCCTTTCCTCCACCCTCCTCTCACCTGTTCACTTTCACAAAGACCGTCCTCAGGCCCCCATCTCCCCCTTCCCCACCCCTCTCTCCACCGTCCCCCCTCTCCCCTCCCGTTTCCCCCCGCCTGTAGCTTATAGCGTACGACTCATTAATGCATCCGCTGAAATGCACCTCTCTCACTCGCTCCACGTCCCCCGTTCCCCCGCCTCCTCCGCCATTCGCCCCCAACTCTTCCCCCCACTCTTCCCCCCGCTCCCCCTCTCTTGCCCCCGCGTCCGCTCGCCTAACCGCCGCCATGATTTCCGCCAGCTCCGCGTCTTTCAAGCCCCCGCTCCTTCCCCCGCCCCTCCCCCCGCCCCGTGCGCCGCGGTCCCCGCCGGTCCTGCCGCCGCGGTCCCCGCCGGTCCTGCCGCCGCGCCGTCCGCCCAACCTGCCGCCCAGCCGCCCTCCAGCCGCCGACCTTGACGCTGAGCCGCCCGCGTCCGACGGATCTTGCCGCCCAGAGCCCCCCCCCTCCCCCGCGGAGGGCTTGGCGCTGATTTTCGGATCCGACGGTCGAGGCGTGTCCCTGGTATCGCCAGTCAGGCTGACGTCATCGTCGGGCGGAGCTGACGTCACGGCGAGGGAATCGGTGTCAAATTCGAACCACGAACCCCCTGTTACCCACTCCGCATCTCCCCCCTTCCCCTCTCTTCCCCCTCCGCGTCCCCCTGCGCTTCCGCCTCCGCTCTTCCCGCTGCTGCTCGCAGTCGCCCTGATGCGACGTCTGTCATTGGCATTGCGGGGAAACTGCGTGACTGTAACGGATGGAGCAAGATGAGGGACACGTGTGCACTGAGGCCATGTGCACGTGGGAAATGAAGCCATTTGGGAGACACTGCAGAAGCAGGGAAAGCAGGAATATAGGTTTAAAATATATGAGTTTTTTTGGTGAAAGATGAAACAGCCGCCCTAGCTCAGTTGGTAGAGCGCAAGGCTCTTAACCTTGTGGTCGTGGGTTCGAGCCCCAAGGGCGGCGCTTTTTCCTCGAACACCCGATTTCCATTGGCAACTTTTTCGGCACGCGTACGTTTTCGGTCGGAACAGGTTGACTGCTTTTTCTTTGGCGTCCTTTCTCACCTCGCCACGCTTTTTTGCTGCAAATGCCAAGTATTCTACGGCTCCTGATCCGTGTACCGGCCTCGTTAGCTCTTCCTAGCACGCGTCGTCAGAGAGCGAAGTAGGGTAGTAAGTACAGACCGTCTGAGCGACGTAGTACCGTTGTAAGTTCTCCCTAGCACGGGCCGTCACAGAGGCGTCACAGCTTAGCACGCTAGCACGGGCCGTCACAGAGGCGTCACAGAGGCGTCACAGAGGCGTCACAGAGGCTTCACAGCTTAGCACGCTAGCACGGGCCGTCACTAAGGCGTTGGGGCTTGGGAACCGTTTCTAGCAAAAAGTCTTCACAGATCGTTGCTGAGCGTCCGAGATGCTTCCACCCGCCTTGCTGCAGTTCTTGACGTACGTGCTTGGAAACTCTCGTTTATTTCTTCTCATCTTGTAGAATATAATCGATGCGTGGTCGACTTTTGAGACGTCTCAATGGTGGCGTGGCTCTGGACCATTTCGCGCGACCACCGACTGATCCGTGTCACCTTCTAGTTGACCTCCCATGCAGTCCGAATTCCGTATCCTTCTCACCCTTCTCACTCTGTCGTCACTCTGTCCTCTTCATACGCGATCCCAAGCAGGCTACCATTAGGGTATCTATATCCAGCATACCTCTGCTTCATTGGGGGATTTTTTTTTAACCTCTGAAATGTTTTCCCACCGTCGCCTCTCCGTTCCCTTCGTGCGTGATCCCACGCAGACTGGTCTTTGGTTATCTATATCCAGCGTACCTCTGCTTTAAAGCCATCAGGAAGCGGCGGCCTGACGTCAAGGAGCTGCTATGGTTTTGCCAATTCTGGTGCGAGTCTCCTCCATCCCTGTTATAAACGAGTGTTGTTGAGACGTCTCAAGAACACTCTCTTATCACGTGGCTACCTCTGTTTTAAAGCCATCAGAAAGCGACGGCCTGACGTCAAGGAGCTGCTATGGTTCTGCCAATTCTGGTGCGAGTCCCTCTCATCCCCCCTGTCCTTTTGAGAACTCCCTATAACCAGCTTGTCAAGGAGCTGCTATGATTCTGCCAATTCTGGTGCGAGTCCTTTTCATTCGTGCTCCTGCTTCTCATTGGCTCCACCTGCGATTGAGGAAACACCCATGAGTGTTTTTTTAGTCAACTCAAAACACACCTCATTTCTGGTGCGAGTCTGTTTCATTCCTGTCCATGCTTGTCATCTGCTCCACCTGCATAACCAGGAAACACCAGTGAGTCGTACCTTTTATGGCTGCAGCCATGTAATGCTCCTCATTCTGCCAAAACCATATGTTTTCTGGCCGTTATTTCCTCGCGTCTGCATTCCCCCCGCCACTTTCAGGGTACTCATTGCCCTCGCTACAGTCACAGAGCGCCTGGCTGACCCCATACTGGAACGGTAAGCACTTGTGTGCGGGAAAGCCATCTTGGTCAGATACTGACGGTTGCCTCAACCCACTCATTCACATCTTGTGAAAACCTTTCCATTCTCAGGCTATTGGGGTTAGAAACAGACAAGAGACAGAGGGAAAACGTCAGCCCACAAGCTGAACATTTGTTTCCAATGAACAAACATGTGCCGCTTCAATCTGATCCATCCCTTTTCACCCCGCTAAACACTTTTCAATCTGATTCAATCTGGGCAGGTTGCCTATGTATCCAGAGGGGAAGCTGCTTCTGGTCATTTACCTCTGGTATCCTGACAACAAAGGCACAGACCACGTATACAACAACCTGCTACAGCCAGTGTTGTTACAGAACGAGGAAGACATTGACAAACAGGTGGATGAAATCAAGGGGCGTGTGAATGACGTAGTGAGCCAGCTGCAAACTGTTGTATCAGCGTACATGCAGGGGTTTGTGGATGAGACAATCGCTTACCTGACTGCTGTTTCAGCCCAAGCAGCGGGTGTGGCTGCTGCTCAGCAGCAACGGCAGCAGGCGAGGCAGCAGCAGCAGTGGCAGCAGATGGTGAGTTAATTTTACAATCAAATTTACAGCACACAATATATCACCTTGATTCTAGTCCCAAAATCCCCAATCGCCTCCACTGAGCTGCTGGCTACCGTTATTCTCATTTCCCTTGCTTGCAGATGACTGGTGCTTCTGATAGCAGCATGCTCGGCACAAATGGTATACACACCTCGAGACATTTGGATGCACGACAAGAGGCTGCTGAAGTTGACCAAGGACAGATGGACACTGAAAGTGATGTGGAGGAGGAGCAAGTCATGGAAGGTGTCACCGAGGGGGCTCAAGAACATACCGAAAGAGTACTCCAGCCTGATCGTGGCTCAATCCAACAACGGGGATTTTTCGGAATTAGCTTCCTTCGTCGTGGCCGTTCAGTAGCGTCTCAAACATGACTTTTTGCTTCTCCGTAAAATGCTCCTGGCTGTTTCTATATTTTGTTTCTGTACGATGTTTCGCGGTTCACTATTGAATGGCTGCAGAGGAACTGCTGCGCCATTCATTGAAGACCACAATGGCTGGATTTTTCTAGCTTCAATTCAGGATTACCAGGGCTGAAAGCAAGGGCATTAGTGGTGAAGTGGATGAATATTGAAGTTTGCACCACAAGAGAAGGGTACACTGAAGGTAAAGATCCTAGCCTCTACCAACGCCTTCACCCTTCATCATGTGGAAGAACTGAAGCCAAGCAGCTTCCAAAGAGTTTGTAAAGCTCCTTCACTACCCACACATGACCTGACCAGACAATAGACAGCAATGAGGCATGGCCAGCGTGCAGTTTCCGCAGCCAGCCTGAAGAAATTATATACAGAAGGGCGCTGAGAAGATACGGTAAGCCCAATTTGTTACCACCTTGAGACTTTTGGGGTGTAGCCTCTTGTCCTCTGGACATAATCCACATACTCCTCATAGTGGAGAGTGAAGATGGAAGACTGGTAACGAGTCACACGGAGCTTTCTTCTGAGCGCATCAGTGATTGGTCCGCTATAACCAGCTTTTCTAATCAATGAATCCACTGCCTCAATCTTTGTCCAACCTGCAGATAGAGGGGAGTTCCGAATGTCAAAATATATTTGAAAATAAGGGAGCGATGAAGGCGACAACGGGATATGGGAAGAACGGTGAGGGGGAGAGGGAAAGAGGAGATGGGGGAGAATGAAGAGAGAGAGTTAGAGAAGGAAAGAGGGGGAGCCGTGAGGAAAGGGTTGCGGAAGGCAAAGCGGGAAAAGGAGGGAGGGGGACAAGGAAGGGGGTAGGGGGTTGTGGAGGGGGGGATTAGTGGAGTGGGGAGAAGGAGGAGCAGCAGGGAAACTACCTTCATGAAGCGCGACTTCTGGCAAATAGGTGGCACTTCTCTTTGTGTTTTGATGATCAAAGAATTCAAGAATCATGCCGTGTGTACCAACCTGCAGGTTGAGGCAACCACACACACATAAATTTGCGTATATATTTGTTGTATTTTTAAGACAGGAAGATGAAGATTGCGTATAGCTCTTCCTGAACAACGAGCCACAGAGCATATGAGCTTACATCCCAATCAAGATGATCAACCGCAACCTCATAGTTGGTCAGCACTGAAACAGTCACTTGGAGACTTGCAACCTCGCGAGGCTGTATGGGGGAAAACCGGCGGTCCCTTAACGCACTGCATCAAACAATTCCGAGAGCATGAAGAGGCACCATGTGATATGGAGGGAAGGTAACTGAGACGGAAGGGCCAGAAGCACGTGGATGCTTCACGAGACCATACCTTGTAAGCGCGTAGTCTTTGAACCCAGTTAGTACACAGCGAGCTTCGAGCGTTCCGATGCACCCTCGCAGCCGAGCCTCACCAGAATCCGAAACTTTCTTCCATGTAACAAATAGAGGGCTGCAAACTCACACAGCCCAGAAAATCAATTAGAACGGAACGCTCGCCTTTGCCGATAGTAACGGAATTAGCGGCAACACACAAATTTCGCGCTGCTTACTATTGGCCACCCTCGAAGGCGGGCGGAGGAGGATCGTCACCGTTGTAGTGCGACAGCAAATTGTCAAAACAATATACCGCCATTTCCTTGCACGCGCCAACCATGGCTACACTCCTGTCCCTAACCAGCTCGAGCGACCCGCGAGAACAGCAACGAAGCCGAGGTATCAACCTCAGCTTCCAGAAACCACAGACTATTTTGGCCTGGTGTGGTGCCTCTGTGATCAGTTTCTCAACGGAGAAATGGCATGTGGTTGATTGATCTGCTTTCTGACAGGAGCAACGATGGATGGGTGCGCAGCTGAGAGTGACGACGGGGGGAAACTATCGATCAAGTGACAATAACCGTTACGTCTTTGTTTGAGAGGTTCCCGACATCAACCGAGAAGTTTTTGGAAGAATGATGAACATCAAGGCTTACATGCCTTTCTCAAACCATGTGTTCTTTACTGAGGATGTGACTAATACACTGGCAGGGGCACAAACGAAGTACCACTCTGCTCTACAATTATACACTCAGCTTTGAAACAGCATGCAACCTAACCCAATGCCCTAGAGTACTTTCCTCAAAAAGGAGCAACCAAAAGGGTGGTAGTTATCCCCGTCTACATCTGCTCAAACGCAGGTCAGGGCTTTCTGCTGGGTGGAGGACTCTGCTGGCGAAGGCTGTAGCAAATATGAGACCAGGCGGTGTGGACGGATTGGTGGAGGCAAGTCCCTGGAAATGGTTAGTGGAATGACTGTATTTTGGGATGGGAAGGCGGAAAAGATGGACAATAACCCACGTGCCGATTTCCAAAATGCACAAGCGGGAAACAACAACACTGGCTGGCCACCTTAAACGCCATCTTCCATCTGCACCTATTGTAGCATCAGGGCGGCTGCTGCTTGTGTGAGAGATCCTGTGGCGTGCAGCTGTGCATGTGAGTGTCTGTGGCGCTCGTCCCAAGGAGCAAATGTCCGGCCTTCCCGCATGTGCCGCACAAACATCACGAAGTTGCGCCAGTTGTCCGGCCGAAACAAGCACTCGTTCATGCGCAGGAATGTGAACGACGACATTGGGGCCTCATGGGAGAAGCCATCGAACTGCAACCTCGATTTCCACACAATCTGTCAAAACAGAAGAACAAAAACGGAACAACATTTAGACTGGGATTCAACAGGTGAAGTGAAGACTAGGGTTCAACAGGTGAAGTGAACACACACAAATGTGGAATTGAGAAAAAAAGCATCAGTTATCTCAAATTACCTGATTGAAGGCTCCCTCGTCGAACCGAGGCAGAGCATTCTCTCCTGAGACCCTTGTGCCCGCCACATGTGCTGCATGTGCGACTTGCCGGAGTAGCCCCTCCGGGCTGCACAGGGCATACCATGGCTGCTCCGCGTCCTTCATCTCAATGCATGTGAAATTGAGCACAGCACCATGTCTGGCGAACATCCGTGCCAGCGGAATGTAGCCGTCGCGGAAAATGGTGTTGTAGTAGCCCGCTGTGAGCTCTGGTGGATGCGACTTGGTGCCGTAGTGCCAGTGGATACCTGCCACCTTGCCCGAGATGGACGTGTTGGTTCCACGAAAAATTGATGAAGCTGAGGAAAGCACTCGGTCGCCATGTTGAATTAGCATCTCAGAGTACCACTGGAGGTGGGGAAACGGGAACAAAGGCAGTCAAAGGAAAATGTCAACATGAAGTCATTGCAATGAGACTACAGAAGCATCACAGCAAGCAGTGAACAATTACAGCGAATGTGAATTAAACGCCTACTAATGATGATAGAAATGCGCATAGTAGAGGGTCGCTGCTACTAACCTGCAAAAAGAAATGTCCGTATTGTGAGTTCCAATTGCCGATCTCGTGAAAAAAGCCTGTTTCTTGAGGCCATTGCTTGTAGTAGCCAGAGTCGTGCGGACCTCCAAGTCCCCAATTAGGCTTACCGTTGGCTTCGGCCGCCGCTCTCAAGCTCGAAAGCATGTACTGCAAAAACGACAGCAGCAATAACAACGTAGAACAAATAAGCAACGGAGAAGCGAAAGCTAAGTATAAAGTTTGTTCAACAAATAAGCAACGGAGAAGCGAAAGCTAAGTAGAAAGTTTGTTCAGTGCTTCATCTTGAAAACCGTTTTATCATTCCATGACACGGTCGCCGGAGAACAATACGACACGAGTTTGAAACGCAGCATACCTTGTCGTAGCATTGAAACTCGCCAATGCCCGGAAACTGCCACATTCCATTACCCTCTGGATATGAGGGGTACCGAAGCTCGCCAGCCGGACCCATGCCCACTTGTATCTCCTGCGAGGTTAAGAAAAATAGAAGTCAGAATTTTGGAACCAACAATTCCAGCAAAACCACGACTTTCATTCAGTCTTCGGCAGGAAAGAACTAAATCGTTATATTCGACTCACTGTAATAACAGAACCGAGGTCTTCCGAGAACGCGTCCCTGAAACTCCTCATGAAGTCGCTGTAAGCTTGAATGGGCGTCCGGCCTTGGAGAACTGGAAGGTCGTCGCAACCCAGCGAAAGGTATTCTCTGTTTCTTCGTCCGGCCCGGTCCGTGTAGACAATATCGTTGTTCTTGTCTATCGCCTCGTGGATCCACGGAGGTAAAGGTATCCTGCGATAGAAGCGTCGGCCGTTCAGCAAGAGTAGGAAGAGGTTAAAGACAGAACGTTTAACGGCTTTGCAACCCGGAAAACGGCAGCCGCAAGTTGTTTGCTATCTATGCCTAATAGTGCGAGGACGAAACTTGCGAAGAACCTAAGCCTTACATGCAATGGTCTCCCACGTTGCCTCCACACTGGTGAAAAGACATCACCGCCTGGACCTTCAGCCCAGCTTCTTTGACCAGCGAAACTAGCTCCTTGTATGCCGACCAGTCGTATCTCCCAGGCCCTTCTCTTTCTACTATTCCCCACCAAACGTCCATCATCACCCCTTCCACGCCGGCGCTCTTCAAAGCTGTCAAGCTAGCTCTAAACGCTCTCGGTCGGCTTATCGTGTTGCTCATGGTAATAGAGTCCAACGGGAGCATGATAAAGACAGGAACTCCTGCACTCCTTCCTCCGCTGTCCCGCGAACTAGGAACGCTGTGCTCCGTCCACGAGGCGGTATCCAGTTGCGCGCTAGATCCTAGTCTTTCTAATCTCTCCGTCGAGGCTTTATCCTCTTGAAGTTCGTCGCTCGTGAAAAGAATCCACGACTCATCGTTCTGAAGAATGCTGCCACCCCACCGTTGTTGAGCGACTGGCGTACTCCTCCGTGTTAACTCTTCAGCAGAAGCATACGGAAACGCGCTACTAAGCCGCTCGCTCGCCAAGGATGCTTGAACTGTCGTTTGAGACCTCTGACATGGTTCTGATAGCCGTTGCGACTGCTGCTTCTTTGGCCGGAACTTCCCTGTGCTCTGACATTTCGTTTTGCTCCTAAGTGACGGCGCCGCTGAAGAAAGCTTAGCTGTACATACACTGCCTAAGTTCCTAGGGATGTGGGAGACGCCTAAAGCCATACCCGAACTAAAGTTCTTAGTGACCAGTACGAATAAGAGTCAGAACCTAATTACTTGAACAGTCTGGGAGGGCAAGGAATGAAGGCAAGCCATAGATCTGGCTGAGTAGGGGGAGGGGGAACAGGGAAGTGATTGCTGCTGCTGTGCTGCTGAGAGCAGAATGGATAAAACCCTGAAGGAGAGTGGATGGAGGGTTTGAAAACCTAGGTGGGCCTGCGCCAGCCAAGCCACAATGATTCATACCCAGGCCGTGCGTGTTACCCAGACGAACCTGACGCCTCCTTAGCCGAACCTAATCGGTCTCTTCGCAAGTGGGCTTACAGCCACCAAAGCACGGATGTGGTTGCCGAGCCTCCAGGTGTGAGGCGATTAGAGGGAGTCAGGTTGCCTTGCCAGGCGCGTTATCCACACCATGCCCTTCATCCAAGGTCCAGGCTCCGTTGCAGAACCGCGCGCCTAAACTCCCGACAAACTCCGCCTTGCATGGTTTTGGGGGAGCAGTCATGCAACACGTGTTCCATGTCATCTCAGCGAGAGCAGTTATCAATTTGATGATAGCACAGTAACATTCGTGAACGTTGATGGATAATCCAGCAGAAAAATGTTTGCTCGCATGGCAGACCTGGGACCAGTGACGTGGAAGGAAGTCAGCTCTGCCCCACACAGAATTCGAGGGTCCGAGAAGTGCAACGGAACTGCCTTCGAGAAACATGGTAATTGGTGGTGTAGGTAGAATGTAATTCGGAACAGTTATCGGTACTGCTAAAAAATCCCTAGGGCAACCACCAGGGAAACTAGGCCGCTAAGCAATGCTTCCGTTCCATCATCAAAAACCAACCCGCTTGTGTAAACAATTGTCCATAACCATCCAATTGACTGTTTGGCATGAACCTCCCGTTTCTCGAAGTGTTTTCCGCGTCATGCCAGCTCATAGCCTTATCTCCTCGGTTACACGCCCACCAGGTGGCTAAGCGACCACTTTTCCTGGGACGACGGGCGTACACACGCGTATTCCCAGGAAAATGACGTGATTCCGACGTGGCACTGACCCACTAGTGAACCCATACCTGTGGCAAGCCTTGAACCCATACCTGTGGTTTGAGGTGGGAGCGAGGTGGAAGGAAACGGTTGGTTGTAGTGCTACAGTTGCACGGCCCCCCTTCCATCCATCCAAGCTTGCCTTGTCTTTTTCTGTAGGAACATACGGCACATGAATACCTCCTATTGCGATGCGGCTTAGTAGAATTTTGAGGCTTGTGAGTGATCAGCCACGCTTGTCCACGTGCGAAATCCTCATTCTATTCGAGGGCCCCAATGGTTGACGTCAGTGGGCAATGTGATCGACTAGGGCTAGCCCAGACGACTGCGTGGCACAGGGAATGGAGAGACACGCTGTGATCGCTGCGTCAGCAAATGCTGAACTGCCACCGCCCTTGGCTGAGTTTCTCCCCACCGAAAGAACTTGGAACGGGGGCGGAAGTGTCATCTCTCGAACGCTGCGTGTGAGAAGAATGCACGGGAAGTCCAAGGTCAGTGTTCAGGGGTTAACAAGCACACAACTCATTGATACACGACAGTTCATGTAAGGCGTAATAGCGGAACCACTTATGGGTTGACAGCTTTTGTTCATATTCATTTTGCAGAATTGCTAAGTTGGTATCAGGATTTGTTGCAAAGGAAACGACTTGTACCCAAGGGTACAACCACGCTTTGATCCCTTGGTCCAGAGTTTTGAAGTTGCAGCTCAAAGATTGTGACTCCTCTGAACCTTGATGCTAAGGTGATCATCATCATTTCAGGGTGTTTATTGCTACACAGCACAAGCAGCCGTCTTGTTCATTGCAACACTCAGTACCAACTACGCTGATCTCCCGGTTACAAGACCCCCCCGCATAAAAGCCTCGTGGGTCTTCTATCCGGACCAGGGGTCTTTTATTAAGTCAGTCCTGGAGAGGACCCGTCTTTTGACCCAAATCATTATAAGACTCCCCCTCAGGCTATAATGAGTGGTGTTAGTTCATGAGCTGGTTAGCGAGTCACACAAAAAAACCACGAAATTCACTTTGACAGGAGAATTTGTGATCAAGGGAGTCAAGATGCCACATCAATCACGCGTTTTTGCCGCCCTTTCTTAAGATAGGCTAGGAGACAAGTGTCGAGAGTAATGTTTGAGTAAGGAGAGACAAGGAGATACAAATATCGACCTAAAGTGTTGTACCCTTTAGAGGGCAACTCACTGTAGCCTATCTAACAATATATAGAATATATAAACATTTGACACACCCCCATAGGCTAAGTGAGGGGCATCAAAACAACCAACGGAAACAAGGGGTCACAAGACCAGTCAAGAACAAGCATAAAAAACAAAGCTCAGGGTGGCGCTCAGAGTCACCACACACTCCGAGCACAAGCAAGTGGCCACAAGGCCAGTTCAAGAGTTTACTAGTATATATAGAAGCACAACAAGTAGAGCAAACAGCAAGTCTACAGCAACCGAGGGCCTACCTCAACAAGCCCCAACTGCACACAGAACCTGTGGTGGTCACCAGGCGCCAAGGCCTTGGTGAAGACGTCGGCAGTGTTGGCCTGTGAGGCCACAAAGTCCAAACGTGCCTGACCGCGTCGCTGCAACTCTCGCAGGAGGAAGTACCTCACGTCAATATGCTTCACTCTGCTCTCCAGTCGAGGCTCTCGACACAGGAGGATCATGGCCTTGTTGTCAGCGTACAAGGTCGGTGCAGAGCGAGGCCGCTCACCAAGGTCGGCGAGCAAGAAGGTCAACCAGCGAAGCTCCTGTGCCGCCATGGCACCAGCGTAGATATCTGCCTCTGCACTGGAAGTAGCCACAGACGACGACCGTGTAGACCTCCACGACACAGCACCAGCTCCCAGACTGAAGCAGTAACCCTGAGTCGAACGCTGAGTCTCCGCATCGTCAGCGTAGGAAGAGTCGCAGTGACCAGTCAACGCCACTGGCTGAGTCCCTCCAAGCACAAGCCCCATGCCTGATGTAGTCGCCAGGTACTTCGCCACCCTCACAGCAGCTGTCCAGTGGACAGGGCGGTGTCTCCCAGTCGCAACAAAGCGAGAAAGGATGCTGAGTGGAAAGGCGAGGTCCGGTCGAGTACAAGTCATCAGGTACATGAGGCAGCCCACCAGCTCTGCGTAGGGTCCACTGGACTCAAAGGGCTCGTCAGGAAAGGGGCCCGTGAGTCTGTGGTCAACAGCAAGAGGAGTGGGCTGTGTGGTGGAGAACTGGAAGTCGAACCGCCGAAGGACCTGCTGCACCATGTGTGACTGCGTCAGTGTGATGGTGCGAGCGGCTCTGTCCCGGGTGATCTGCAGGCCAAGGTAGCGATGCAGCTCACCCAGGTCAGTGCACTTGTGTCTCTTCTGCAGTTCGGACTTCACCTGAGCCAGGGCTTCCCTGTCTGCTGTAGCAAACACCAAGTCGTCGACGTAG